ATGCATAATATTCATCCAGCCAGACGGAAGAATCACAAACCGTTCGGTTGTACTAGCAACACAACCTATACCAGAGAGGGAGTGGGGCGGACCAGGGACAGGAGATCGGAGCGACAGGCCCCCTGCAGACGGTGGGTGATCGTTCCGTCTGGCTGGATGAAGTCTGACGCTCCTGAATTTATGCATGGATCCGTGATGATTGAGAAATGTAGAAATTAATGGCAATAAAGCATGCTGTCAATATTTTAGAGACACCCCAAAATATCACAAATCATGCATTTAGGGGAGCTAAGCTCCCCCTGGCTTCCCCGTACTTCGCACCCTGCATGTTGGTCGGGTCCAGGAGCTCCTCAAAGTGCTCATCCCACTGCCCAGTCTAGGTCAGCAGTTCTCCCCAGCTAAGCACAGCCTGAGCAAGGCCCTGCTTTCCCTTCCTGAGCCATTGAACGGTTTGCCAGGACTTCCTTAAGGCCAAAGTCCTTCCCGAACTCCCTCACGCCCGGGTTTTTGCTTCAGCGACCAATGAAGCTGGAGCCACTTAGCCGCCTCCCAGTACCCCTCTGCTGCTGCTGTGTCCACCAGCAGGCACCAATGACCTCTTGCCAGCTCTACAAGGCAGGGCAGAGTGGCCAACTCAGATTCCATGTGCCCAAACGCCCCCGGGATGTGCAATGTGTAACAACTTTAAATTGTTCTGAAGCTTTTATAGGAAGGCATTTAACAGGTATACCTTGTGTGAACCTTAGCTTACACTGACATTGTGTCTGTTTCATAAGCGGACACCAGGCTGATGATTAGAACACAGGCGAGGTTTATTGACACGAGTGCTATGGAACGGCCAGAGAGTAGGGGAGAGGGCTGAGGCTTCCAAGTCCGGCGGGATTCCAGCGATGGCGTTAGAAGCACAGATCAGGGCAGACAGATTGGCAGGTGGGCGGCAATAAAGCAGGCAGGTACCGGTAAGCGGTCAGGCAGCGACTTGCACACGGGATTGACTTTAGCAAACGTAAAACAAGAAGTTAGGTAAAGGTCACAAATTACTCAACTAGAACTAGGAGAGTAGGCCGGAGCAATATCCCACAGGAGGTAAACTGACAAACTGGCGAAGAGCGGGAGCTGGACCAGAGTATTTCACTGCAGGAGTTGATTGTTGATGAGCCACAGGTGCGAGTTGCTGCAGGTGGTGATGAGCCTGGACTGGACACGCCCACACACACACAGGACCTGACAGACAAGACTGCCAGAGACAGCAGGGAAGGGAAAATTGGGAAAACACAAGGGAGGGGGAGGAGTCATAATACACACATAGCTGTGTAACATAGTGAGGGCAAAAGTGTTTGATTTCATCTCAAACATTCGTACAAGAAGATGGATGGGTGCAGTGGAAAATATCAAGGTTAGATCTGAAAGAAAATGTGAAACCTAATAAAAATATGTTCTCCATAATTAAAATGTATGGTTACCTGCTCCTGTAAACAAATAAAATTCTTGGTGCAGCTGAAATTAATAATCAGACCACTGCAGCTCCTCCACCTCCCACTTCTACCAAGATATTGCTCACACAATCAGCGGGCTGAATGGTGCTGCAGTGGAAAGCAACCTGTTTCAAGAGACAGATAATCACTAGTTGTGATAAGAATTAGCTAAATATGACAGGGCCTTTTTTGTTTTTGCTCAAATGAGTCAAGAGTCAAACAATGCATTCCCTGCTTGCTGCTGACAGTTAAAAGGTTTTTTCCTGTATTCGCAATTTACATAGATTGAATAGGAGTCATCTGAAATATGCAAATGGAGGTGGGCAAATGCTGGTGTGTGTGTGTGTGTGTGTGTGTGTGTTATGGGTAACCAGTGTCCCTGCCTCATGACAAGCCATTACTCTTGTATGAATAGTGTATTCATTGATATTTTTGTAATCAAACAGTTATGGATGAATCACTAATGAAAACACTAGCATGAAAATTTACCGCTTATAATTAGCAATTAAATTACAGGTGACACGCTGTGCTCCCAAATCACTCTGCTCTCAGGGACTTAAGTTTATGACCAAATACCTACAAAACTAATGACATTCCCATCAGCCTCTGCTGTACGTACTAATTAGCAAATGTTAGCAACCTAACATGCAAAATAAGAAAATGTGCACAGTAAATATTATACCTGCTAAACACCAGCAGTGTTACATGGTGATTGTGAGCATCTTATCCGACATTAGCATTTAGTTCAAAGCACCACTGTGCCTAAGTATAGCCTCAAAGCGTTGCCAGCATGGATATAGACTAGTGGTTATGGTAAGAAAACGCATTGGTCTATCCACTATACTTCTGTATATCAGCTACACAACAACCACTATGTTCTATTCATTTGCTGTGCCAGTTAAATGTTTAGGGAAATGTTTCTGTAATTAGTGGTAACTACATTCTTTCGCTATTTGGAAGTCATGGGGAGGTGGTTGGGATGCCTAAACATAACCATAATAAATAAAGCAAGAGCCTTTCACCAGATGGTGGCACTAGATGAAAAGTAAAGGGGTTAACGGGTATCATCAGAGATCGTGTCCCTCGGGGGAACATGAATGCTCATGTAACATTTCATAGCAATCCATTCAAAAGTTCAATAGTCCATTCAAATTACAAATGTCATCCTCATGGTGGCACTAGAAGGAAAGTCAGTGAATCACCAAAATCATTAGGATTCATCCTCTTTGTAAATGTCTGTACAATATTGCCATCTCTAGAGCCATGCTGGCATGGCAAATCATGTGATGCACTGCAATTGATATTGAGCACATGTATGAATGAGAGTGACCCACCTGGACAAAGTGGAACACTGTGTTATTTTTGAAGATGAGGCTGTACCTTCCTGACACACTTTAGGAATAGCATAATATGGCCCATTTACTGACCAGCTCTTGTCAAATATCCACATGCCTGACTTTGGCTCCATTGTTTCTCTTCAGTCTGTCTCTTTTCATGGTATATATATACAAACCCAGGTGGCTCCTCTGGGAAATTCAGAACCACTACATTTATTCCTCTTGATTCCTGTTAAATAGATGAATACTGTTTGAGGATTAGAGATTTAAGTGCCCTTTTCCTTGGGTGCCTGGGCATAGGCTCACTTTGCATATCTGTGTTCTTCCATCTGCAGAACAAAACCTGAATCAGATGTACAAGAGAGCTTTGATATTTTCTGTCTGTGGCAATGTGTAGCTGACTTGATTTTCAATAGAGATGAAAGGGGGGGAGCACAAATCCTGCTAAATTTCTGGGTATTTACACACACACATAAAGTGTGTGTGTGTGTATGTATGTATGTATGTATGTATGTATGTATGTATATATATATATATATATATATACATACACACAATACCTTAAGTCTTTTTTATGTGTGCATTTACATTACGTGTGTTTGTCCACCCACAAGCATTTGATGTGGATACAGGGAGCTATAACCCCAAAAGCATAAAGTATAATTAGCTTTGCAGCATTTGGGTTGGCTTTTATCAGGGGGACATTTATTTCAATTTATGAGTGCATGTCTACTGTGGGTAACTTTTCATACCAGACCACCCACACAGAAACAGATGCCCTTTTCTTTTTATCTGACTCGTTGATTAAACTTCAGTCTCATATGCGCTCTTGCTGCACTATGTGGCCAGCCAAAGATATGTGATAAAAATCAAAGGTTTAGTTTACATTTAATAAAAATATCCTTTTTCACATCGATTTGGGTTAGCAAACTAGACAAAACTTAATAATTTACTATATATTTTACTGTATAAATCTATACATTATTATAAAGGCACTGACAATATTATTGGGGTGAAAAGCAGCTCTTAGACATGAGACAGTTGTGAATAAGAACTGTCTGCTGAACTGCCTGTAATATAAATATGACCAAGAGTATGATAAGCCTTGTTAAGGCAAATATAATTGAACTAAAATAATCAAATAAGAGCACATAATCAGGTAAGCATCACAATATCCATTTTAATTTCTAGTTCATAAAATTCTAGATTTTGAATTCTGTTCAAAAAGAGCAGAAATTGTTAGCCACGGTAGGGGTCAGTCCACTACTTTGGTCCAAACTGAAATACGTACATTTCCTCTAGTGCCAATAGCAGGTGGATATTTGTGGTTTCCTGTGAAATCGCCGTAACTATTGGGTGGGTTACCAGACAATTATGTTCTCCATAGGATGAGTTGTAATAACTTTGGTGATCCACCAAACTTTTAATTAAAGTCATCATCAGGTCTTAACACGTCCAGTTGTTTGGTTTATGATCAGATACCCAAAAAAACAGTTCCATCAGCCTCAGCTGTGCTTTGTGAAATTCAAAGTCATTTATTGTCATATGCACTAAATAACATTACATCATCCAGAGCAGAGAAAATCTTGTGGCATGGCTTGTGATAGCTACACAGTAGGCATTAAACATAAATTAGACATACATTATCTATTATAGAATTTGAGAAAAAAAAAAAAAAAGAACATATGAAAATGAACAATAAAATAAATTAATAAATAAAAGTTAGAAAAGTAAACACAGAGAGCAGCAATCCTGCAAAGCGCCAGAGGAGTAGTTAGGGGCCTTGGGGCAATGGTCAGTGCTGGACTTGAACTGGCGACCCTCTGGTTCCCATGGACTGAACGCTAACTGGTAAATGAGCGCACATGCTATACTAATATCGTAAACATGGTAAACATAATACATGCTAGACATCTGCCTGTAATATTTGTCATTGTCATGTATTGTGAGCATGTTAGAATGCTAATGGTAACATTTTGTGCAAAGCACCGCTGTGCCTTAGTATATCACAGAGCAGCTAGCATGGCTATAGTCTTGTAAATTATAATAAAAACTGTTCTGTACCTCAGTCCAGTCCAGGTAATGTAACAAGCATTTGAAACCAAGATCCAAATGTGGATATACTGTAGATTAACTCTTCTTGCTGTAGCTGACTGAGCTCACAGCTTCTCTTTCTCTGTCTTTCCAGCTCTGGTGAGACCCTGAACATTGTGAGCACAGGCTGGCCCAGGTCACGTTGATGCTGGTGGGCACACACTAGTACTGTCCTCGCCACCTGCTCTTGCTCTGCTCCCACCTCCCCACCCGCCATGGCTGCAAGCAGTGACCCTGTCTGTGAGAGGCTGGAACCCGACTCTGACAAACAGACCAGCAGTCTCACAGACATCATGGCTGCCATGACGACAAAAGACTCTGCTTCCAACGGCGTGAGGAATGGCGGCGCTCAGAAGGACGGGGCTCAGGCCAAGAGAACTCATCCGTTGCGGCCTCATCTGACTGGGAGGAAGTTGTCGCTGCAGGAGAGAGGCACTTACCTGTCGTCTGGCTCTGGAGGAGGCTACACACACACCTCCCCTCGTGTGGCTCGCAGGCCCACCGTAGAGTCTAAACGTGTGTCCATATCAGACTCTCAGGTGAGAAATTAATTTTTATTCATATGTATTAATAATCATTAAACTATTGAAAAGGATTTTCCACTGACAGCAGCAGTACCATTGGTTTTGAGATAAATGGAAGATATTACCACCACACTGTTCTAAGAAGAGATATGTCTGGGAAGTGGAGAAAAATCTAATACAAATCCAAATCTGGAATCTTTCACTTAAAACACCTTCTAAATGGTCTTTTATCTGCAGTTTCCTGATTTGGACATTTGTTGACATGAATTTCTGCAGTTGGGTGTGACAGGTGGTACCATAGCAGGGAGTGAAACACAAACTGAGAGAAAGCAGCTCCATTGTGCTTTTGAGATCAGTTGACATAACTAGATACAAAGCATCATATACGTCAATGTCTCTGCATTATCACTAAAGAAAGAGGAGCATTAGGCCAGTGGACAACTTGACATGCCTCTGTATATTAGCTGCTTTATGTTATTGCATAATTTTCCCAGCTTCTGACATGGATGTGCAACCTATATAATACTCTGTACTCCGCACTGTGAACAGATGTGTTGTAATGGCACATGAGAGCGTGTGTGTTCTGATGTTTGCTTTGACAAGAGTCATTTTAACTGTTTCATCAGACAGATATGAAATACATTCTGGAAAGAAGTGAGGGTTGGGGGTGGGAGCAGCTAATGATTTGCCATGGTGAGCATTTCTACTTGTTTTCCCGTGTGTGCATGTCTGTATAAATGATTTAAAAAAATACATTTTCTATTGTATTTTACACACTATAACTTTAAATGTATGCTGTTGTAGGTTGTCAGAAATTAGAGACCTCCATCGCATCCCTAGGCTTGGTAAATGCATTTCCCTTGCTGGCTGTTATGTTGGAAATGTACATTTTTAACTGCACATAAAGTAAAGAAAATCACCTGCTTCTTTGTCTGCTTTCCTGGGTTTCAGGGAGGCAAGAGTGAGCTGAGAGACCCACAGTAATGGACACACCAGATTAAAACTAGAGGTGCACTGGATGCAGCCTATAACCTACATTTGGCATTTAGATTCTCTAAAATATTGTTTTGGGGTTAGTTTTTAGTCACTCATGCCTGTAGCACCTTAAAGGAATAGTCACTCATGTCTTTATGTAAAATGTTAGGGTAGAGACTGGAGGCATTTAGCTTAGCTTTGCATGAAGACTGGAAATGGGGAGAAGCTAGACTTCCTCTGTCCACATATAACAAACTCCACCGACCAGCATCTCTAAAGCTCACTAATTAACAACAGCACTGTGAGATTGCCAGGCAACCAGCGGACATTCCTGGACGTCACTGCATGTGGTAAAAAAAATAAATAAATAGCCATGCAATCTCCTCTATAACCTCTATAGTTTTTACATTTGGGTTTTTGTGTGAAATACACAAATGAGATATAATGCGATAATTACCTAACTTTAGAGCTGCTGGTAGGTGGATTTTGTTACCTTTGGACAAAGCCAGGCCAGGTTGTGTGCTAAGCAATGCTAACTGTCTGTTGGCGGTAGCTTTATATTTAGCATATTTAGAGAGATATTGATCTTCTAACTCTCAGCAAGACAGTTAATGTCAAGGATATTTGCCAAAATATTGAACTATTAGTTTAAACCCCTTACTGTCCATGTGGAGACACTTGTAAATTATCATTATAAATTATCGCTTATCAATAATGATGAGTTTCATTATTTATATAACATTTTTTTCTTTTTTTACTTTACTCCAGTTCAGAGTGAACATTAAAAATTCATGACATCTGCCAGGATGTGGAACCCCTCTGAATTTAACGGACTAGCAGACCTGTCATTGTGTACTGTCTGAAAATGGAGTTGCAGCTCTTGCACTGAACCATAAAGAGAACTCTCACTGGATCTACAGTATGACACAGCGGAGAGAGAGATGGACACATTTCTTGCTTGCACAAATATCAGTTATGACTGACATTTTGAGTTTGTTCACTGTTTCCCATAGACTGTATGTTTCCATGTGTAGTTGTCAGTTGCCTCTAGTGGTGAGGTTTCAGATTGCAACCACTACCTTTCCACACAAAATGCTGGAAACTCAAGTAAACTCTCACTGAAATGTTACAGTAATATTTTTATCAGCTTTACGTTGAACTAATCCACGTTCGTTGCATAATAATACTACATTAACTGCATTAACCTACATGATACGTCAGCATTAGATAGCCTGCACTTTTTTTAGGAACTATGTGTGTGTCTTGCACCGGAGAGGCTCGGCAAAGTCAGCAATGTATTGGATGATAATGAAAACGGTTAGTAAGCTAGACTCAGTATTGCTATCCTGCATCATTATGTTTGAGACCGGTGAACAAGAGAGAACATTTGCAGTAATGTTAGCTTACTTGTCCAATAGGATGAAAACCAACTCTCAGTCGTTTTTATATCCAAAACAAACTGGATGTCTCTTCATGACTCAAACGCCTTTACGATATTGACCAAGTTTTTGCCCTACGAGGATTTGTTTTTATCCTAACTTGTAGTTTGTGTTGCGTTTTTTGGCGTTAGTGGACTCTAGCCATGTAGTATGGGAGCTCGCATGAGCGTCACAGCCTACATAAACCAATAGATTTCACAGAAAAATAGGATATAGGAAGCAGCATAGTGGCTGTGATAAAGCAGGTGAATTGATCACTTTTATGTGAAGTTACAACCCACTGACAAATAGGCAATAAAATAGTATTAATTAAAACTAAAATAATACATATACCCCTTAATATAACAACAGGTAAATGGGAAGATGTATCAGAATTACTAGAATCACATGTAACCCCAATAATGTTCTCCCTGGCAATCTGGGAAGTCCTGTACTAAGCCAGATGATCATACTATGTATATAGCTTATTTAATGGTTTAAGTAAAGCACAAGTGTCTTGCTCCTTTTATTTTCTCTCTGTGTTGCAGGAAACTCTTCTTTGCCTTCTCACTCCTGACATTCTCATCGAATTTCTTTCACTCTGTTTTGTGTAAAATAATAATCCCAAAACCTTATTAAATTGTAGGTAACACACCTGGAATTACACCATTTTAGGGGCAAAGCCGTCTTTGGTGTTGTCAATTTTTTGAGGGCATTAAAGACCAAATACCAAGGCAGAAAGCCATAAAATAAAACAATTTGCTGCTTGATGTCCCTGCTTCAGCATGATGGTTGCTGTTGTAATGAAGCTAGCTACCGGTGTTAGTCTATCTAACATAAAAATATTACGTTGATTTTACAGCTAGCTAGCATGTGTTAGCTAACGTAACTTCAGCTTCAGCAGTCTGAGAAATGAAATATTTTTAGTACGTAGATTCCATATGCCACTGCTGCTCAGCAAGGAAACACAGAGAGAACATTTGTAGTTTAAGTCTGGAAGATACCAAAAAGAGGCTATCTCTTTTTCACAATCACCATTAGTAATCTTCATTCCGGTGTGGTCAGATGGGTGCTGAGAATGAGGGCAAATAAAGGTAAAACACTTAGATTTATCCAATTCAGAGAGGAAACTAAATCAAAGCACTAAGTAGATGTCTGAAGGATGCCGCAGCAAAAATAGAAAATACAACCAACACTAACATGAATAGTAAGCTGTATAATGACCTGACACACAACTAAATGTCCATTAACAGGATAACTGAACGCTTCTGAGTGTGAATTGAATGTGTGAATTGTGAGTGTTTACTATTAGAGCTTGCCTCAATTAATCTCTTTTGCAAGTTTCTTCTAGAAAGTTCACACAGTCTTGTATCTGTTATGGCTGACTTACCGTATATTAAAATTAGCAGCAGAAGAAATGTGAAAATTAGTAACTTTGGCAGAAGCTTGAGCAAAGATAAATGTTACTCTCCCTTTGTCTTCACAGTATATTAGTACAGTAAATGATGTGCTTATCTCAATCCTTAAATTACAGCAGTATTATACTCGATAGTGGTCACATAAAGATCTATGTTCATTTAATATTTCATTTTTAAAAAGGTGAGGCAGTCCTTTAGTTGATCATCCTTTCTTGTGCCTTGTTAATTCTGCAGATTTCTTCCATTTGCATCAGATGCAAGGGCCTATAGAATAACAGAATAAACCATCTTCTTCTGCAATGGTCTCATTTAGTTATAGCTACAATACCATTCTGTCAATATTGATTTTAAAATGACAGGTTGAGGAAATGATTTGCATTTACAGGCTTTAATACTATCAAACAAAAGTTCCCTTTTTGTTACATACTTCCTCAGGCAGGCACGATCATTATTCATCATGCATGGTCATTGATTGCGAATAGCACAGTGGCAGTGATCTATTTGTTATGCACTGATATAGATCGGTTGTTGAGTAATGGATGGTGAAATGTGGAGAGTTTGGTACACATCAGACAAGGAGGACAAAGTGAGATGTGGAGGGAAACGAGGAGAGGTGGCTGTGTTGCAAACTGAGGGAAGACAGCGGTCTGTATGGTTAATGTAAAGTAGTAGTCTGGTGTGACAGTATGACCGAAAGTGCCTTCTAAAGATTTACTGTGGCATTTGAATTTGATTCATGTATGTGTGCATGTGCGTGTGTGGCAGATGTATTTAAGGCTTTCTACATGGCCGTCATTATCCATCAATCATGACAGAGTATTAACTGCAGTGCAGCGCCTACTGAGCATGTGCCGGCAAACTATGAACCCAGTAGAAGTCCCCTCAGACAATCCCTCCTACTGCTCTTTTCTTTGGATTCTCCTCATTTGCCTTTTTCCTTTATCCTTCACCGCCCTATTTTCTTTACTCTCTTTATCTCTCTTCAACCAATCATCGCAATCCTTTTCAAAGTTCCATTGCTTACTTCAACTACCAAAGCCCCATCTTTTATTCTACCTCTCACTCTTTGTCATAATCGCTGCCCACAGTACTTCACACCATCGTACCATACAGCGCATAACCCTCCAGTGCACAATCCTCACCTCTCCTGCAGCACCAACAGCAATGTTCAGTGCGAGCTACATAACCAGTATATTATGTAACCCACTATATAATGTTGTATTTTCTAAAATACCTTGCCTGTTGGCGAATGAAATCTTGGCCTACACCATGAGTTTGTGCGGTACTTTCCATTTTGTTACATCTGTGTTCTCTCCTACCTCTTCTCATCCCATAAACACTTTCCAGTATCAAGCCTCAGGCGCTGGTCCGGCTCACACACACTAAGCCATCGCCCCCCTCAACTGTAGTGACAGAACTGCTTTCAATCCATTTTCTCCACAGTTCCATCTCCTTTTTCACGCTTATATCATTGCTCACTTTCTGCTCATTGACTTTGCTTATCTATGCACCCCCCTCTGCCCACCCCCGTGAAATTCTCCCCACCACCAAACCTCCCTCCCTGTCCTGCTGTGGTCTGCTCTCTGCTGTGCCCCTGGCTGACTCTGTGCTGTTGCAGTGGTTGCTATGGAATTGCAAATCAGCCATTTAAGCAGTAGCACTCTAATGGATTTGCAGACAGTAAACAGAAACTACAGACTGCATCGTTACCTACATCTCAGAAATAAATTACTTTTCAACACATATACACACACACACACATACACACACAGAACATTTTGTTCCTGTACCAAAGACGGTCCTGTTTCTCTTCGCTTTAGATGATGAAAGCATTCTCTCATGTCTGGATTGATGATTTAGTTCCTCATGTCCCCACCCTTTCTCTTGACAGGACTGTATCCAGTTGAACCAGTATAAACTAAAGAGTGAGATTGGAAAGGTGAGTTGGTTGGTTTTCTGCCATTTGCCTCTGCTCAATTTCGGTTTGAGAAGATTTACCTTTTATTTGGTAAGAGACAAAATGCCATGAGTCCAAACACATTCACACCATTTGCACAATAAAACTTGTGAGTTTTCTTTATCATATGGCTTGCAAAAGTGTAATGTAATTTAATGTAGACAGGAAGGTTTGATTTTTGGAACTGTTGAGTCCAACACCACCTATCCATCCACTGTATAGTAAGCTTTGCCTATACACACTTGAAAACTAGCTAGTTCAAAACAATCCAGTAATGTTATTTCATCGTTTATCCTACAATTGTCTGCATTGTTGGCTATATCTACCTTTGTACCTGCTCAAGTAATCCTATTCTAAAAGCATTTGATATCCTACTATCAAAAAGAGTGTCTCATACTCAGCAGCTCTGTGAGGCCGTACTTAGGCCAGCAGTGCTTTGAGCTAAATGCTAACATCAGCATGTTAACATGCTCACAGTGACAATGGTGGTTGATGGTTAGCAGGTATATGTCCACAATCTTTGTTTAGCATGTTAGTCATCGTGGTGGTGCCAGATGAAAAGTCAGAGGATCAGCAAAGTCCTTTGGGGACTATGAATGTCTTTACACATTTTTATGGCAATCCATCTAATAGAGATATTTCATTCTGGACCAACAGACCAACATTGCCATTATGAGAGCCCCACCATGGCCAACGAAATAGAAATGTCTGTGTGACAAAAAACACTAGATTGGATATCATTAGGAGGAGGAAATAAAAAGCGAAATGGTTGAATTGCAAGTCAAAAAAACTCTTTTAAATTAACAAGATAAAACTCAATTATTTTTATTTATTATTTTAAAGAAACTGAAATTCTTTGAGATTAACCACAGCTGTATAACCAGCTAGGTCCAAGGGTAAAGTCAATTGTTGTGGCACGAAGGGGGACCCATGTTCAACTTCAGGGGAGGGCAGTGCTTTGTTTGTAAATCAGGAGGTATCAAAAATCCACAGGGCCTGCAGCATGTTAGACAATGCCGAGGTGCAAACTGTTAAAACTGAATTAAACAAAACTGTAGATTGCTACAATGGGGGGAAATGGAATTAGGGCCAAAAGTTCTTTTTATAACCACAAAAAGAAAGCATGCTAAGAAACCAAACCAAGTGACATGTTCTGTCTTTCAATCTCCTCGGCTCTGTTTCAGTACTACGTACAGCGCCGCTTAAACACGCACCCCCTAATTTGGACCGACTCATTTCACCATTTCACAGTGCCCACTTAGCTATGGGGCTTAAAGTAATCACAAGCCAAAATATTTAGACACCAAACAGTATTAAGCCAGCATGCAGTGCATCTACTGGTAGGCATATATGTGGGGCTTGCAGATTTTGATAGTGACAAAGGAGGTGTGGGATTCAACAAATGAAGCCCTGGGGGAGGGTGAAATTGCCGTTACCTTTCCAGCATGGCCAAGGGGGATAGCCTACAAGCTGCACTGCGCTAGTTGGACTCAGAGGGTTGTGGGTGCTTGAGCTTAAAAAGTTCACTTGAGCGCAGCGTGTGCATTCAATTCATCCACTAAATAACAAACCAATTTCTCACAAATGTATCAATTTATAATCTCAAGTGAATATGAATTTTTTTTATCATAAATTTGTGAATTCTATCTTGTGAATTTTGAGTTTTTTCTCAGAATATTACCCCCTCACCCTGGCTCCCCATTACTATTATTTTTTTTAAGCCACAAGCTACTGCTTCGAGATCAATACGTTTATAGTAATATTTACTATATGTACTAATTATTAATAAGTTGCTGTGCAGGCAACAGAGGTAAAAACACATAACTTAACTTAAAGGGCTTATTAACACTTGTAATATTGTTAGATATTAAAGTAGTAGACATTAAAGAGGAAAAAAATATCATCAGATCGACATTTAGAAATGGTATCAAACCACTTGTGTAGAAAACATAGAGAATGTTATTATGAAACACTGGCTAATAATCTACATAGGACACATGGATGGTTTTCATTTTGAAGCAGGGCCATTGTTAGAACATTTCTTAAACTTTGTTACATAAATTTGAAAGAACTCACACTCATTTGTGCACTTATTTGTCACTAAAGCCCACAAATGGATTTTTGTCTGTCCATAAGACCAATTTATTCTAAGGACAAACAAATCCAGTGTCATTTATGATCAGCCAGCTGGCATATTTTGGCTGTACGTCAAACGCGATTATAATGCACTCATTTCATTTATGTGAGTGTTTGATCAGTTTTTCCATCAGTTTTATTACTTGTTTGCTCTTATCAGAGAAGAAAGTGTCCAAGGAGAAAAGGATTATGATGGTAAACACACATCCTGGGGCAGTGTGTGTGGGAGGAGCCATTCTGTGCTGCCAAAGACTAAAAATGTTGTGTTTGAATAGAAACGATTCTGCCTTCAAAACATTCTGTCAGTATGGTGCTGCCGTCTGCTCTCAAAGTGATGCTTTATGAATCTTAACAGACTCCCTCACAAGTTTTGTTGATGAACCACTTTGTTTTAATGTGGAGCTGAACCACAAAATGTGGGTATAGCTTTGAATCATCATTTTAATAATGGGTTGCAATGAACAAGTAGGTCCACAGAAAATAAATCTCTTTGTTGTTGTTTTGCAGGGCTCCTATGGTGTGGTCAAACTTGCCTACAATGAGGATGATGACAAACACTATGTAAGTCAATGCAATCATTTTACATTTCAGAAACTTCCTTCTGATTTCTAAATAACAACTGTAATGCAGTCCCTCTGCCACGCTGCCACAGTTCTCCTTTGAGTTTCCATCAAGCCTCTCAGCCTCTATTGTCTAGACAGACGAGCTTTACAGGATCTCACCAGTGCTATTGATTTTTTTCTTCCACTTTGTTGCCTAGCTGTGAGTTTCATCCCCTCAAATTGCATCAATTGCCTTGGAAGAAACTTGGAAATGAAAGAGGCTTCTGGTGCCTCTGAAAGTGCATCCAATATTTTATTATCTTCAAAGCATGCTGCTGATGTCAGTTCAAGGGGGAATCTGGATATGTGGCTACATGAAGTCATTTTAGTTGTTTCAATCAAGGTGATTTGTTCCTGTAAAAGCTTGGCCAACTCGGCCCCTCTGAATTTAAGCCGTCTTATGTTTCAACATAACTAAGCTGCCCTGTGCAGTGACAACAATGAAAGTGTTTGGATGAGTCATGTCGATTTAACTTGCCAACTCTGGATGGGTTTAAGATGTACTTTTGAACTGGAGCCAGTTGGAGCTCGGAGTTCAACACAACCCAATATTAAAATGCGAGCTTGTAATTGGGCTGATGCAGAGTGGTAAACAACAGGAGTTATGTAAGGACACAGGCGAGCCTATAAGATGAGTCAAATATTATAGCAAGGGAGTGCTTATATAAGCTTTCCCTCTGGAGTGAAATAATTACAGTGCCGCTTTAAATAATGACATGCAGCAGCCCTGTGATGGACTGGCCGCCTGTCCAATGTCAGCTGGGATTTTAGGGTTGCACCAGAACAGGTTTACATGGTTTAATTTTCAAAAAACACCATATTTTTGTCATACTGCACATTGCTGCTGCTCCTCTTTTTACCCTGTGTTGAAGGCTTCGTTTTAGCTATGGAGTGATACGTCTCTAAATGATCTTTATTGGGAGTTGCACATGCGCAGTTCCTAGTTAAGGACTAGTAACCAATCAGAAGCAGAGAAGGGCGGGTCAGTGAGAAGCCGGTAAACAGCTTCGATTCAGCTGTAGGCTACATGTTGCCGACCAGCTTGGCAACATGGACTGGAGCAAGAGTTTCAGAGTGGTGAGTTATTAATCTGTAACAAAAGTATCTTTCATCCATAAAGTTTTAATTGAGCTCTGTCTCTACATCACAGTAACAACTTTATGTCCACTGACTGCCTGGAGGGTAGCTAGTGTTTGGAAGGGAGAGGAGAGGTGTGTGCTGCAGCTCAGTGTTTTTTCACCAGTGTTTTTGAGGGCGTGTTGGAGTCGCCGATTGGCGAGCGTATATATTATATGAGGCGCATTTAGCTTTCATCCCTGTGACGTCACAGGGAGACGGCTGGACTACAAATGAGCTGTTTTCAGGCAGTTCAGAGCAGAGTTTTCTGTGGGAGATGGGAACTGCCTTTGGACTGGACTTTGGGCTTTTTCACTTTGCAAATCTATTACATGCACAAAAAAAGGTATATAACTCAATAAAGGAGAGGGAAAAATCCAAAAAGCATAATTCCACCTCTTTAAGTTTTCAGTTTTCTTACAATATTTGCTTGTCAACTAAAGCATGATTAAAGCTTTTATGGTAACGTTGAAGCATGAATCAAACAAAAGATCTGCACACTGTACTAACGTTTTGATCGAACAGATATTTAAAAAAAGCGTTACTTGGTTAAAGTCAGGGAAAGATTTGTGTCTTCGTATAATATTGGCTACTTTAAGTGAACAGTGACTTGAGACACAATGTGTTTACACATAAATATTTGATTGAGATCACAATCTTTCCATAGCCGTAAAGAGGCACTCTGCTGAGCTCCAGAAATTTAAAAGGCACCCTGTGGCACTACAGAGGAAAGATGAGAAAAGCTCATCTTAATGCAAATATCCTCTCATGCAACGCAGCTTCATGAGAGATTATAAACTGCCTGCTACATTGTATTTGTATCTGTAAATGCAGCCATTTGCAAGATGGAATGTTTTCTGTGTAAGTGCATTTCCATTCATTAGCTTTTAAATGTGCACGTTTTTCTAAATGTGCACATTTAAAACCACAGTGGAAAGAAGATTAAGAAGAAAAAAGTAACTTCATAGTAAATATTGCAAATACCTTTTCACACCTGGCTGGTGTGGAAAACATTTAAAACTAAGTGCAACAAAGCACATTGGAAATAGACTTGGTGAATAAATAATAACGTTCATGAAGCATATGACTTATTTGTCACTCAAGTTTCTGCTCCAACTTTTAATATTCACATAACAGTAACATGTTAATTAACATTTTCTTTTTCAGATTTTCTGGTCAATTGCTAAAACATTTGCACCACATTTGGAAAAAAACCTGACCAGTCCTCTGCTTTGTACACCCACCATCCACCCTGACCTCCTTACAACTAGTGTGCGGTACATGCATCAAGCTCTTACCATGCTGGAAAATAATGTTGACGTTCAAAAAACATTTCCCTTTTTTAAAGGACTCAGCAAAACATATTCATATATAAACTGCTTTTCTAGTGTTGCAGCATAAGCCTCAGAGAATTTCGTCTTGTCAGTCACCCAGTCTGAAAGAAGTAATTTTATCTTTCTTCTTCTTTAGTCTGTCCCATCTGCCTCCAGGATTTGTGTATGCGCATACACATAGAAAGCTTTTACTTTTGCTGCGCATATGTCTACATTTAGTTTTCTAGTTTGCATCTCTGTCTCTGCTTTGTGTGGAAGCGTTCTCACATTTGATTCTGATTGTTGACACTGGTGGAAAATGTTACCTTCCGGGACAGACTGCAGGTTATTGCAGGCTGGCTCAAATGACAAACATGTCTGAAATAACAATGACAGGGATCAGGAAAAGAGGAGATGAGTAATGACAGCATGGAAGGGTGATTCTATTTCCTGGCAATCTGAATTGGTTCCCACACAAAACGTGTGGAGCATCCACAGCAGGAGCCCACGTACAGTATGCAAAAATATAATCTTTTAAAACACTTTTTTTTTAAAAGATAGAATAAGCCAGTGAATGTCTGCTAAAAATTACTGTCTTGAAATTACTTAGTTTTAGATTAAGAAAAGCACTGATGAATACTAAGATCAATATTTTATGATAAAAATAAAGTGGTCAGTTTTAAGATGAAAATGCCACAGTCCTCGACTTGACAGCCACAGGATAAAAATAAAGAAATATGATGACTAACTCCAACCAATGTTATCTTGTCCAAGTGAGTGTTGGAAACCAGTTTTTAGCAGCAGATTACTGAAGGTTTTTGAATAGTGCATGTTTTTGTTGTGGTGTCCTATGGCATCTAATTACCATGCTCACAACTTGATTGGCAGGCATCCAGTTGCGATGCCTGCCAATCAAGCAGGCTGTTTATGAGCCCCAGGGGCCCAAAGTAAATGTAATTTCTTGCAGCATTCACTCATCTCATTTCAAATTAGATGAGCAATGAATATAAAAAGCTAATTATTAGCAGGTATTTGCTCTCAGAAGCAGGAGCAGTCTTTACTTCTCGTTAAAGAGACAGTATTCTGGGACTTTGTTTTCATGAAACGAAAAAATTTAAAGAATATAAAATCCAATATATACAAAAAATATCAATATGTCATCATGCCTGTGTGTAAAGATTTAAGGATTTTTTTTTTCCTGTTTTACTCTGCGGGGTAACCAGTCACTTGAATTTGTTTTTAAATGTATAGATGTATTTGTCTTAATTATTTTTGTCAATGCCGTAAAGTTATAATATATTTGAACAAAATCAAATTCTGTTTGTAATACTATTTATTTTTGTCAGTGGCAAAGTCTGCCATTTCCGCATAGGATTCAAGTGCCACGGGTCAAAATCTAAATGTATAAATAGAAATAGAAAACTGTCTTACTCAAATTACCACTAACAAACTGTCATACAATAGATCAAGGGCGTCCACATCTTATCTAGGAGGTTAATCCAGCCTTGTTGCCAATGCTGGGGAAAGGTTTTGTCACCAAACTGCAACACAACTCTGCCATAACCCTCTCAGTAAATAAGTTCCACCTTTTGATATTCTGTTGGTTTTCTAAAAGCAATAAAAGAGTAGGCCTAGTCATACGGATTTAACAAGTTAGCATACGCTACCTCGGTGCAAAAGAGAAATTTAGGACAGCTTAATGGTTATCCTAAAGTTGGGAGTATAAATGTAAGATTTTGGGAAGTTAGGATGTTTGTGTAATACACTTTTTCTATCTTAAGTTAGGATAGGAATGTTGGTCCTCATGCAATAACATTTTAATGTTCTTATGTTAAATTTCTCTTCCAATTTTTTTGCACGGTGGACTCCTCACACCACGTTAGAATCAGCAAACGCTGCTAACTTGAGATAAAGAACCTCATGAACATCATGAATGCCTCCTGTGTGTAATTGAGCATGTGTTCATGAGAATGGTAAATTAGCATAATTAATGCCCTAAAAATACCTAAAGGCTATGGGTCCTGCCCCATATGTCAGGAAGAGATCATTCATAAAAATGACATTGAAGAGTAAAAAGAGTGCAGATACTGAGGTCCTGCTTTTGGAGAACCATGAAGAAAGTCTGTCATTTTTAACAGTGTCAGCAGAGAAATAAAGGTAAAAGTGTCGGATCAGTGTATCTGTCTACGGAGTTCCTCTACCAAGTTTCACATTTACAGAGCAGAGTCCGTGGTAATCTTAACAACGACAGCCATTAATCTTCCTCTGCCAGCACACTGGCACTCTCTCCCAAGGGCCTGGCGCGCTAAGGCATCCAAAAGATTACACTTATAGCTGTTCCAGCTGACCTTATTATATACAGAGACAAATTGACCTTCAATTAGTGCATCATTTAAGTCATTTTCTCATAGTGATATTGTAGAGTTATACAGTAGCATCAATAGTCACTTTAAACGAATGATGATACGTTAGGCTATTTGATGTAAATTATATATAATTTATTTTATTTATTATTTATATATATCATATTGAATTGCAAACAGGATTATGTCAACATAATTATAAAGTATAATTTATATAGGATTTTCACTCACAAGCCTTAAGATTGGTAAGAGTTGTATTTGCATGATGCCCATTTGCAATTAAACTTTTCATCTGTAGTGGCTTTTTTGGCCTATTTTTTAGGTCCTAACCCTAATTACCATGGTTAAGAAACACTTAAGATAGGAAGTTTTAATTTAGGAAGTTGCTGTAATACAGCCCCTGTTCTTTAAGTGAACTCACATTAACTCTTGATTGTCTCTTTTCACTCATGGTAAAATACATTTACCATGAGTGAAACTGCGATGAAGCACCTACACCTACCAACATAGTCAGAATTTAGCTTTTCAGATGGCAGGTATTTACTGGAGTTCCAACATCAACCCTGATTCTGTAATGAGTTCTGGTATGGTTGTGACTCACACAAGTCCATATACATACATACACACACACACACACACACACACACACACACACACACACACAGGCAGCACATCATGGAAACTGTACAGGGGAAGTTTTGCTTTCATAGCCATGGCGATGTCTGTTTCCAAAAAAGAAATTACAGAGCTTTACAGCATTGAAACTTTTTGAAGTAGTAGAAAATATTCCACCCGAACATGAATTAGTGATTAATGAAATCACATTGACATTCTGACAGAATAGTAGTACTAGCATTTTGGAGAAATGGCTGACATACAGTGAATGAAAATCTACTTTCTTGCTAAAGGTTGTATCAGCAATGATGTTTCTACTCAAATCTTCAGTGTGTTTCATTGTATTATTTGTTTTCATGTACCATTTACATTACATCTAACTAAATGTTTATTTTATTTTATTAGTAAACCTGCTTGCAGGTGTAGTTTTATTTTCTTTGTGAAATGACTGGTTCTTTAGGCTTCACTTTACTGTTAATACTAGCTGTATGTGAACACACTGTATGATCAAAATTATTTTTATGTTCTCCTAGGCCATGAAGGTGGTGTCCAAGAAGAAGTTAATGAAGCAGTGTGGTTTTCCACGTAAGTCCTGTTCTATTCTTTTTATGCAACTGAACAAGACATTTGCGAAAAATGACCTACCCGGATTTAACTGTCAACAATGAGTTGTCAAATCAATAATGAGTTGTCAAACAATCGAACATGATTCCTGGGCATTCACAACCTAAATGCAATGACGGTTTGTTATTGTAAACTAGCCCAAAAACCTTCATCTAATACCAGATTCGGCCGCTGGACACCTTCTGTCATTGCAAAAATGATTTTGCATGTAAAGGGGAAGAGGTTTCAAAAAGGTGACAAAGTGCCAAAACACAATCAACGACACATTTCATAGAGAAAGAGGAACAGCAGTTACAAAACTCTCCAACATGATGGACATTTAGAGAATATAGGTGGCTGACAAATGTTCCTAATTAGCATGTAACTTCATATAACCAGCTTTTGTAGCAGTGTTTGTTAGTTCAAATTCAAGACCCCTTTCTCTTAAAATGTTGTTTTGTCTGGCCATTGAAGTTTCCATATTATGTTAAATTTGAACTAGCTAGATAACAGTTGATCTAATGACATTTAGAAACTTCCTTTTTAGTTTTTTTGCAAACTTCCAGAGCAATATTATCCCTAATCACAAGAGGTGGTTGATTCCAAAGAAGGAGAAAATGCTCTGCTGTTATAAGTCCTGCTAGCTGTTAGCATCTATAACCTAAACATAACCATTTGAGTAGTCAGGCTTGTTGAGGCATAGTTGGGGGTTTTTTTGTTTGTTTATTTTACACCTTGCCATCAGAAAACACAAGAACAGAGTGTAATTCCATTTATACAAGAAACTTTACAAAACATTCACAAAAAAGTTCTTGTATTTCACAAATACCAACATATCTCATGAAAACATTCAAGAAAACATTCTCATAACATTATGATAACATGATATGCTGTATGTTGGAACAACAAACTTACATACAACAAACTTACATTCAAAACGAGAAGATTGAGAAATTATAGCTTACATCAGAAAAAAAGTACAGATAAAAAACTATTATGTAAAACTATACTATAGAAATGGAACAACCCAAGCAGAGTTGGTACTCTGGGAGGTGGAAGGGTGACTGTGATGGCAAGTACATACGCATGAGGTACAGTATGTGGACAGGAAAGGTAGGCAGAAAGAGAGGCACATTTAAGTCACTGTGTCTGACCCTGTGTATATTGCTTTTATGGCTGTCATCACGTTATATGATCACTCAAATTTGTCTCATTGTAATTTTCCAGTTGCTCAAATTTGAACACAGTAGAGAAAAATCTGTATCTGACTCCCTGTCAGGATGAATCATGATCAAATTAATTATTTAGTAAAGCTGTGTGTGTGGCGGTCTGCAGGTCGCCCACCCCCAAGAGGACCCAAGGCAGCACAAGGAGAGCAGCCCAAAATCTTAGGTCCCCTGGAGAGAGTTTACCAAGAGATTGCCATCCTTAAAAAACTGGACCATGTCAACATCGTCAAGCTGGTGGAGGTGAGAGTATCTTTATCTCTTAGTTGTTATTGAACACAACAGTAATGGATGGTTTCTATGTTTGCATTCAGAAACAAACCAAGACATTAGTCCTGTTGCTTTCTGACTCACCAATGCATTAATGCTGGAAAGTGATCGAATTATGTATGGTAATATCTTCAATGAGGGTTCTCTGAATAAGAATTTAACATTAGAAGAGGTTCAAGCACAGTCTTGTTCCTAGCCTTGCTAGCAGACAAGTTACTATGGAAGGCATTGTCAACAGATATGGTTATGATTCCGGTCAAAGAATTTGGGTCAGAGAGAGGATCCGCAGTTTAGTGAATTTATTTATTATTTATTGTTCATGGTCTACAAAAGAGAAACAGCAATATTTACAAAAAATGGGAATTAACATGACATTTCAGGAAACACAGCACAGCTGCTCCCAGCACAACACCACAGTATGGATCAGCTCATTGGACTTCGCTCTGAACTGGACATTACCTGTGCTGATTTAGTAATAGTGCTCAAGAAGCTTGGATATGTAATTAGTGAAAATAAACTGAAGTGCTTTAAGTGGGCCGGTACTCACTGGTACTTTGACATTTTACTCTTTGGCATACCGTACCATGACTTTTGGGGTGGGCACACACGGTAGCTCTGCTTTAATCTTAAGAAGCTGCAGTCTCTATTCATCAGTCACTGTAACTTATACTAACTTACATTTCCAGCTATACTGAGGCTTATTGTTGACCTTTTTTTCTCTGCTCTGCTCGCCTGCCTATCGCGCTTATGTGGTTCATCAATGGTGATAAATGAAGCAACAACTGAGCAGAACACCGACGCAGATGGTGCTCTGTCTCTCTTCCTCTTCTACCACATGCACACACACACAAACACACACAAACTATGCACACTGAACCCCCCTTCCTTAAGGGTTAGGGTTACAATGTTGGATTTATTCATGCACTTTAAAAAGATTTATTAAAAGCTTCTTTCTTTTGACATTTTTTGGTAGTTCTGTGTAAAATCAGACATTGAGCACCACCTTATAGCCAAAATGGTATGATCCTCGTTTCATAATGGCTCTGCGAAGATTTGACTGTGAGCTTGGCAGTCGAATCAGGCTCCGCCTATCGAAGCATGCAGTGTGTAGCTATCCACTGCATCCAGCGTAGTTTGCCGAAGCCTCCCTCCGCTGCTTGTTTGGGTGGGTGATCAAAATAATAATAAAAACTGCATTAACATGCGATAAAATAATTGTCACGTTAATTCATTGATTTGTTAACGCGATAATAACGCATTAACATGCCCAGCCTTAATAAATATATATATATATACTATGAAATATTATTTATATAGATATAATGTATATATGAAATCTGGTGGAGCCAGTTTAAAAAAGGCCTGCAGCAAATGCTCACTTGAGTTAATATTCACTTATCCTATTCAATAAATATTGTTTGTTTATACATTCTGTTCTGTAGAGGTTTGAAAGGAAGGAGGATTGTAGTGGGAGCACTGTGTGAAGTTAAGTAAGTAACTTTACATTAACCTTATAATCATTTTTTATAATTAAAGTGTTTTTTACTGTAACAATTAAAATGGTTGTCCCCCTGGTTACATACATGTATGTTGTGAACATCAGTTATATCTCCTGGTATCTTTTATTCACTGTAGAAATTTAGAATGTATACTGTAATGATTTGCTGATACCGGCCGATGTACACGCCAACATGTAAGGGGAGTACTGGCCTTTTATTTTTACCACTTCAAGCATGCAGGACAACTGCATGGATACAGATGGATGTATTCTAAATGGAAATAGTATGGCCTATCATTAAGAAAAGATGATGTCCTCTTGATTTTGAAAGAGCTGGATCCCAGAGCAGTTTTCACAGAGGAAAAGGAGACGTATCCAGAGGTGGAATTACTTCTCAAAGAGATCCAATTTCATCTGCCATATTGACTCTTATTATAAACTCAAACCTTTTGGCGTTTGTGATAATGGCTGCAAGTCTTTTCTTACTCGTAGAATACATCCACCTGTATTAGTTGTCCTGAGTGCAGGAACTGTTCACAAATGAAACCGACAGCATCCTGCAGATTACCATACTGCTTTCTTCTGGAGAGACTCTCTAAGAATACATTTAGCTTACGTTCACTCATCAAGTATAATCAGGTATCAAGGTACTTTATTTATCATTATACAACAAAGGACATGCATGTCTCTTCATGCTACATATATAGAACTTAACAGATAATTAAATGTATATTAGAATAGGGTAACATAAAATGAATAATATAAAACAATAGGCCTATTGAACAGTTATTTATATACACATATACATATATACATACATGTATACATCCAGGTAATAGCTAATTCGGCAGTGCATGAATTTGCCTCTGGGAGACTGTAAACAGTAGCAACAAGATAGTAATGATAATATAGTTTTCATTTTCACATATAAAGTTACATTTGGGAAATGGTGTCTATTCACTTTGACTGTGTTTGAGCACGAAGCATCACCAGTGAGTGGATGGTTTGGTACTGAGAGGTGAGTATCATCGGCGTAGGAGTGGAAGATGATAGGGTGGCATGTAGATGATGAAGAGGATGGGTCCAAGCACAGACCCTTTAGGCACGCCTTGGTTAACCAGAGCTGGGTGGGAGCCGGATTTGCCAATAGTGACAAACTGCTTCCTTTGTGAGAGGTAAGACTGAAACCAGGAGAGAGCTGTGCCGGTGATACCAAGTCGATGGGATAGGCCTTCAAGGAGAATGGCATAGGAGATTGTGTCTAAGGCTGTCAATGAGGATGAGTATGCTGATATGTCCGTCAGCAGCAGTGAATAGGTTGTTTGTGATTTTGGGCGGTGTCTGTGCTATGGTGATGTCTGAATCCCAATTAAAAGGGTCTGTAGAGATCATGGTTGGACATATGCTGGTGGACTTGGATGGCAATTGCTTTTTCCAGAATTTTACTGAGGAACCGAATGTTCAGCCGGTAGTTACTGACATGCTCCAGAATCAAGCCTGGCCTCGTGAGGATAGAGGTGACTTAAGGCATATTGAAGTAGGAGGGAACTATGCCAGATTCCAAGGAGCAGTTGATGACATCCACTATGATGGTAAACAAACCCTCATCAGCAGATGCCACTAAAACCAAGACACTGAACCTTTAAACAACTTTACTGAGACATATTGATATATTACTAGTCTCTGACGGTTTTCTTTGATCTTCCAGTGAGCCATTGGAAGGAGGAAGGAAAACCACTGGAAGGACTCTGGAAACTACATGAAACATTAGAGTTACACAGTTGCAATTAAATATCTTAAAAATTTAATTTGTTAGTTTTCTTAATCTAATATTTTTCACAAAGTTTTTTACTCTTTGTTCAATTTATAGTGTTATGTATTAAAACACTTGCTGAACTATATGCAACAATGTCTTTTTTTGCCTAAGAACATCGATTATATGTGCCTAACATTAAAAATGAATGATTTTTCAAAATAGTGCGAGATCAGAACAAAAATGTATATAGTGCGTTAACACCATTATTAGATACTTGAGGACTTCATAGCCTTGTTATAATTATCAAATTAAAATGGCATGCTTTTTGGTCTGACCAAGTTGGCACAAATTAACTTATGAAGTGAATAAATGTAAATCTTCATGGAAAGTGTTTTCATAAAAAACCTGTTCCCTTGCATGGTTTGTTAGCTGATATCTTTTTCTATAAATATATCAATTTCAAAGGAATGTAGTATTTAAAATAAAGATCTAAAACTGGTTTTGTCCCTTATCTCAAGAACCAGTGTCGCTCAGACGGAATGGAAAAGGATTGCAAGGTAAAAAAAAGTAGTCCTCAAACGGCGTACGGCATGAGCCTAAATCAGTGAAAGAAACTCTAAGATATTCAGATTTGTCCAATACTTTGGATTATGACCAAAAACCTCCAAAGCTAAGGACATTCCCATCAGTCTCAGCTGTAATTTGTGCTTAGTGCTAATTAGCAAATGTTAGCATTTACCAATGCTCAACTAAGTGCTCAACAGTTATACCTGCTCTGTAGACTCTCACATGAATTGACAGCTCAAAATATGCAGATACACACACCTCTTCATCAGTTAGTCATGTTCTACGCTTGCTTTTCTATTTTGTTTATATTTGGAGTCCAGTGAAAAATGGCCTCTTACAGTAGGGAAATGTGTCATTTCATTTCAACCGTTTATCTTATAATATCATTTGGACATCCACAACAGGTTTAAAATCCATTGTGGTCAGGATTATCCTTTACCCATGTATCTTCAGATAGCCTTTCATGCTGTGTACCCTGGTTAATGCTTTGTATTTATGTCGTATCAGTTTATGTCGGACCAAAAAGGTGGATAAACCCTGTGTTGCCAGGAAACAGGTGGGGAAAATAAGATAGATTTTCCCTCCAGCACATCTATCACACTTCTATAAATGGACTTCATTGCATTTAGGCAATTTATTTAGGAAAAACAAAGCATTCACCCTGTAGATGAATTCTGAACAGCCAACGCTCTCATACTGAATTGGGGAATTTTAAAGATGGATAGACTTTCAGTTTCTGCAGAGGCGGTTGTTTGTGAAAAATGATAGCCGATTTTGAAGACATGACCACTCCCTTGCGATATCATCAGAGTGTTTTTCAATCTTGGCCAGATGGCGGGGGCACCGCCGCCGTGGTCGGGAGTTAAGCTCAGGGAGTCAGTCAGTAGGAAAGCTATCTGACTTGCTCGGGTGTAGAGTGTGCCAGAAATATAAAGGAGTTTTTGAAGTAAAAGCCAAGTACTTTTGCTCCTGTGTGCTTGATGCAGCAGTGAAGACAAACACACCTACTCATCTTTTCCCTTCTTTGTCCGCCCTCACTCTCACTCTCATAATGGGCATATGTGGGCAATGGCAAAACCTGCTTTCCTCCTCTCCGTCACTCTGTTCATCCTTTTTAAATGGGCTGTGCTTGGGTCAGGATCACATTCATTACGGGTCTCCGTCTGATTCCTCTGAGACTGCAGTCCAGTCAATCTAATTATGAATGAACATTTTCTCTCGTTTTAAAATGTTAACCTTTTGATGCACAAGCTATCCAAACTAATGGGTCAAAATGACCTGTGTTATTACATGCATGGCTGACTTTATTTCATCATTTAATTTTACATGTAATCATCAAATATCATGCATTTAATTACCACAAATAATTATTACAATTTTTCCTTTCTTACTTTCTTGTATTACTACATCAAGTTTACACACATAGTTCAAAAATGTCCCATGTATTCAAGTGTGATTAAAAACAATTTTGTTGAAATAATTATTTTTGCAGTGATTTGGATCAAACAATAATGCTTTTAATATTTGAAATATGTTTATTTGTAACCTTGTCAAAGATGGTGTACACACATTTCTGATAACCAATAACACTGATATTGAATTTTAGCAAACTGTGGTGAATGTGATCGAATATAAGAAAATAAAAAATAAATAAAATCACAGCACAAATTGCCATCTCAGTGCTTACATGCCTCTCAAATGACAACATCCAGCACATTATACCAGAGAACCACCACTAACTCCTTAACCTAATGTTTAAATATTATGCAGAGTTAACTTTCTCAGGATAAATAAACCAATAATTTCTTAGGTGAAACAATTGTAAAATAAGACTTACATGCTTCAGATGTGCAAAAGTGTGGCAGGTGAATAGCTGTTCGCAATAAGTGCAAACATTTCCAAATATGAAACGTTGCTATCACTTTCCATAGTGAATTTCACTATTTTTGTCATTTTTGACCCGTGTGTAAATACAAATGTTTGTTCAGAAAGTTCTGAAAGAAAGGAAAAATAAAAATTGTGGTAATCAAAAACAAGACATGAATACCTGCAATATTAAATCCATCCATCCATCCATCCATCATCAACCGCTTATCCTGCGTACAGGGTTGCGGGGGGGCTGGAACCAATCCCAGCTGACATCGGGCAAAAGGTGGGGTACACCCTGGACAGGTCGCCAGTCCATTGCAGGGAATATTAAATGATAAAATACATTTATTTCAAAGATACAGCAAAGAAGCACTCAGCCATGAATGAAATAACATGAGTCACTTTTTGGGGTCAAATCATAAATTTGAGAAACTGTACTAATAAACTTGTGCTATTTTCTATTTTGTCTTATTCTCAATAATTTACCACTTTAATCTCAGAGAATATCTGAGTTTCTTTTCATCAATTCAGATTTTATTCTTGGAATATTACCCCACTCTGTAATTTTTTTTTTAACCTACAATGGCCCTAATCTGCCGTTGTACATTTTTTGACCTATCTTGTGCATTTCGAGGATAGTTTGATGATTTTCATTCAAAAGTAAGAAAGAAAAATGAAACTATTTGTGATGCTCAAAACACAAGTTCGTTGAGGAATACCTGTAATACTGAATGATTAAATTAATTTATTGCAAAGCTGTGACAAATGAAAACTCATTTTAACCCATGTTGTGCTTGAGATAGTCAAACTACTTGCCGAGCCATGCCGTTGAATGCCGAGGTCAATTTGTGTAATTTCCTCATGAGTCAAGATACCCTTTTAATGCATCTTAGTCACTGCATTAGTCAACAGCTACAAATAAAATTACTAGGCTATTGTTTGCACTTCGCACACAACAAAAACTAATTTTCTGTTTGCAGCTTTTTGTGCTTTCACTTACAACAAAGGGAGAAAAACAACAAAAGAACAAAAAGAACAGTGTTTATTTAAGCAGACATGTATATGACTGAGCAAACGTTCACCTATTGATCGTTTCATGGACTATTAAAACTTAGAGTAAATAGTGTTACTGTTGCTTAAGGGAGATTTCCTTCCCTTGTTTTTCCAGTACTGTGTGACGTTTACCTTCACTGTGGACATTTAAATTCACCAGGATGTTGTATTTAAACAGATGCTCCAGGTGGACTGTGTGTGCCCTGTGGTTTGTGGGAGCTGTGAGCAGTTTCCTTGCAGAAGCAAAGCAATTAAATTTACATTTTGTAAAAATATCACTACAGCACAATATTAACCGATTTAGGATTGCAACCCTGTAACATATAACTCAATGATGGAGTCTGACAATGTTTATTTTTTTAACCTTTTTTACCTAAAAAAAAGATTAAAATCCATGCAACCAGTGATGTCATCCCTTTTAGTGCACACATTCTTCTTCCTTGTCAAAACCCGGCGCCTGCATTGACCATAATGCGACTTAACCACAAAGAGTTTGGTCGTGGACTTGGCTTTGCTAGTAAAAGCTACAGAGTTTCCAGAATCAGGCAGACATGGGGAGTGGGCTACAGAGGTCTGTTCAAACTTCAGCCACAACCGACACTTTCATTTAATAATTATCAGACTTCACACAGCTCCCTCCGGAGACACACTAGGTTTTACACAACCTGTTTCACATGTGCAGTGGTATTCCCAAGAACCTGTAAACAGATTTTTATGCGTGAAATCAAATCAAAATCTAGTTTTAGCCAGGGAGTGTTCTTCAATAGAGAAACTGCACAAATTGAACAGAGCGCCAGAGGAATTGATCCTTTAAGCCACAGCCCGAATACATAACTGGCCAATCACAGCGCAGTATAGGTCTCACACACAGAGGTCCGACACTTTCATGGCTGCGATCCATTGACTCGTATGCAAAAGGAGTCCTTTTCCAGCTTCTTTTTTCTGCTGTATTTTTCCAAGATTTGGTCCTGGGGCACTTACCCAGAGAGGTTGGAAAGAGAAGTACGATTTATTCCCTTTCCTAAACCTAAAGCATATCCAAAAAAATGTAGACTTAGACTGTTCCTAATCTAATGTTAAGTAGCTAATGCAACCTAACTTTACTTTCTACTGAATGTAACTTTATAAAGCCCTACTGCTTTTTAATGATTTAATAGTGATTAGAGACCTATCCAGCTTTACAGAAACGGTGTTAATCCTTAATATCGTTGTCCTTTGTCTCAATCATCAGATGATGCGGTGCTTCACTTTTACTTTGTGATCGGTAGGCTTTTGCTTCTGTCTTTATTTCTTTCACATCAGTTTGATAGCCTGAATAAAACCCTCAAAGGCATAATGCAAACCCCTCTGTTTCCTTTCTGAGATTGCTTTTTTTATTTTTCCAAAAATTAGACTGTATTTCTCCAGGGAGTCATATCATAGTCATAGACAGCACCATGATAAATCCAACCGGTCCGACAATTTGTCGTACTTAGCAACAGTCGAAGCAATAGCGAAGGGTCAGTTGGGGCTAAAGGGGGCCCAACAGCCCACTTGTACCCATAGCAGGTTATGCCGGCCATGAACCTGGCCAACTGTCTGCTGCAAAGCCATGAATTTACACAAACCATGCAAGCCAGTGTTTTAAATTACAGCTCTCACCGATGTCCTACAGTACCTGTTTAGAATTACAAGCAGCTGTTGTCATTACAATTTCCTCATATAACTCTTCTTAGTCAATGTAAGGAATAAAATTCTTTTTGAATTGGGCAATTTTTGGGTCCTGAATACATATTGCCAGCTTTAAAAAATTATCGTTTTTTGTATTGTTCAAATCCACTTCTAGGTACAGGTAGGTGTGAACTGCAAGGTATAGGACCTTGAGGTTTTCAACTGGAAAGTCATGATGATTATGTTAATGTTGCAGGTGCTGGATGATCCAGCGGAGGACAACCTTCACATGGGTATGCAGACCACATTTTCTTTGTCCAAATCTTTTGAGTCTATTTTTGCCCCCTCTCAGCCTTTGGCACATATCCTACCAACAAGTGTTCACGTAACGTATTCATAATTCAAATCATGTCTCGCTTCCTTCCACACCACCTCAGGGCTCTCACATTATGCAGAAATCTTCCATCAGCAGTGCCAGGTCACAGTTAGGGTGCCTGTTGTGCTTTATGTGGCACATTCAGCTAATTCAATGCTCCTGTAAAATGGATGATGTGATGCTGGGGTGTTGCCTTAGTGGCAGCAGTGGTCAAGCCCAGCTGAATGAATGCATGAATGAATGAATAAATAGTTTAGCCTCACATGTTCCTATTTCCCTCTCTTTTTCTGACAGTGTTTGAGCTGATGCCTAAGGGGTGAGTAGAGAGCGTGTCCTTTTTTAAAACAATGTACGTCTCTTCCCCTCTGTCCCTCCTCCTTTTCTTCCTCATTTCTTCCTCCTTCCATCTTCGCGGTGCTCTCCTTCATTACTCCAAGCCGACACAGTGCTGGTGTTTGTTCCATTCCAGGCTTCGAAAGGATTCATGATGTTCTTAGGTTTTCACAGTTATTACCGGTGGCAGTCAGCTGTGTAAATGTTCACGTCCTTATGCTTGAGCTGTTCCTTGCTGCATCACTTAAAACTTATGATCAAATAATCTTGACACCTTTTGTTATTAACAAAATGGAGGTGGGAGGGGATAACTGGTATCATTTCACATATGTGCATAAATAAGTGATGTTCTCCTTTTAATAAGAAGATATGCTCTAATTGTTAGCGTTTTTCATATTGAGAGAGAGTGTTTGCTTTCTTGTTACCCCGGGCGGAAAGATGATGTACAGTTGATCTGATTTAATACAGCTGATATTGATGGAGTGGCTTTTGCTACTAATAAAAACTTTTTTTTACCATTTCTTTCATTCACTGAGCTAATGTTACTACTGTTTCTACTTCTATTGATGCAGCTACTGCTACTAATACTGCTTGAGCAAGTACTAACTGATTCTACCACTTCTAACTGCAGTACTTATTTGTACTACTGACACAACAGTAGTAAAAAAGTACTATGACTACTACATTTACTGCCATCAGAGGACTATGACAAATACTACAACTAACAAGGACGTGAATAACATTAAATGGGTTTTGACTTGAAATTGTACTGACTCATCTATAATGCCACTAATTGTGATAATTGAATATTCATTTAAGTAATTTATTAAGCAAAAAATGTTAAAACATTTGCTGGTTCCAGCTCCTCAAATGTGATTTGCTAATTTATTTATGTTTTCTTTTTAAACAATTATTACGTGTGCAATAATGTAATAGTTGTGATCATCTACTATATAAATATTTTCTTATGCTTTACAAACATTTTTAAACCCATGTCAGGACATTATTAAAAAATCCAAATTTCCTAGTAAAAAATCACAAGCATATTTTATATGCAGTGTAAGCACTGAAGGAGACTGAGTGTCTGAGCGTTTTCTTTTCATACTGCTGGTGTGTGTTTGTGACACAACCAGTAACACACAATCGTTATAGTTGTTAAAAGATATTTCTTAGGGGGGTTAATTAATGTAACAGGGGAAGGTAAGACACATCTAGCTTGGAGTCATTAGCTGACCCCACAAGTGTCTTCACTGACCTTTCAGCTATAGTTCTTTCTCTTATGTAACTGTCCTTGTTAGGGAGACCACAGTTAGATTGACAAGGATAATGACAGTAGCTCAGGCGTCAGGCTAGCAGATATCTGTCTTCTCTGGGAATCTTACAAGGTTGACTCTTACAAAAATGTTTATAAGAACTTACTGGCTCCACAGATTAGAGTCTAACTCCCGAATAGTAATAGATTCCAAAAATAACGTAGCATTGAGGTCATTAAAGTGTGGCAGTCAGGGACAGAGAGGCAGCTTGTGACAAATGCTAAAAAAATTCCTTATAAATACACTTTGTGTCCATTAAGTAAATGTTTATATTCAAATTATCAATACTAAATAGAGGTGGGGTTAACATTATGAAAATATTGTTTTTTAAGATTAATTTAATAATCATGGCGGCGCAGTGGTGCAGTGGTTGGGACTGTTGCCTCACAGCAAGAAGGTCGTGGGTGCAAACCCCTTTCTGTGTGGAGTTTGCTTGTTCTCCCCGTGTCTGCGTGGGTTCTCTCCGGGTGCTCTGGCTTCCTCCCACCATCCAAAGACATGCAGGATAGGTTAATTGGTGTCTCTAAAATTGTCCGTAGGTGTGAGTATGACTGGTTGTTTGTCTATGTGTGGCCCTGCGATGGACTGGCAACCTGTCCAGGGTGTACCCCACCTTTTGCCCAATGTCAGCTGGGATTGGCTCCAGCCCCCCGCGACCCTGTATGCAGGATAAGCGGCGGACGATGGATGGAACTTAATAATCATAACATTGACAGCCCTAAACTCAAATGTATATTCAGTATGGCTTTGGGCAATAGAGCACTGTTTAATTGAGTATACCAAGATACTGTAAGAATGGAAAAATACAACTCCTCTTTTGATCAGTAGGGTTGTAATGGATATTTAGTTTAAAACCCCAAACCCACACAAAACAGTCCAGTGAGCATTGTTGGAACAGATCCAGGCTGCTCAGTACATGCTGCTCTTAATGGTATCACCTTAGATTGGCTGATCTCTGATTTTAACAACACCACAGTATCCTTTGTGTTCATATATATGATTTAAATTATAGTGGACGGATAGTGCCCCCTTGCATCAGGGCCACAGTGGAAATAAGCATACTAGCTTTCTTGTGTTATCTTTGACAGTTCCTGAAAGAAAATGACAAGAAGCCCTTATCCTGTATTTATTTATTTGTATTGATGAATAAAATCAATCAATCAATAGTAATAACTGAATTCCCTATTAAACACAGTAAAACCAGAAAACTAAATTACAGTGTCATAGAATATTAATATTGAGATGGGATGAGACATCAGAGTTGTAACTGTCTCTCTAGAAGCAGACAGTGGTTTATTTATGTCCTGCACACTCATACTAAGCTGTTTTTGGTGCAGTTGGGTTTGGCATCTTTACAAAGAAGATAAAGATATTTGTCTTTACCACAGATTTGAGTATCGGTGATGTTTGATCAGGGTGTTTGTGTCTGTTTCGATGTGTGTCCCATTTGAATGTCAAATTCCTGTGCTAATACTGAAACAAATGATACACATGATTTGTCTGTTTCACTGTCTGTTTGTTTTCTACACTGCCTGCCTGGCTGCTGCCTGTGTGGATTTGTAGTCCTGTGATGGAAGTGCCCACAGACAGTCCTTTTTCAGAAGAGCAGGCGAGGTTACACTTCAGAGACGTTATCCTGGGTATAGAGTACCGTAAGTATCTCAGGCAGGACAAGGCCTGTCTTTGAGTCTGTGAAACATACCGGTGAAACTAGTTGATGCATTTAAGCGATCAATTCTCTGGTGCCGCCTTTTAAAGAGCTATATGCAGTTTTGGAGGTGTTTGTAGTGGCCAGGAAAGCATTAGATTTTATTTTTTTTAAACTTCTCCTCTCTATCGTTCTGTTTATGATAGTCAAAGTGTAAAAGCCACAACCTTTTTTATCTAAAAGAACAAAGTGTTCCTGACCTTCTGTTTCCATGTCCCTGGGGTCTGGCCGTGTGCTGTCCACCTCATCAATACTATGTAGTACTCTGTTCAGTGAAACAGATTTTCTCAAGCTGCGTCCTCATTTGCCGCACTAGATCCATTTCACCGGGCTATGGGCCTAATGATTGGGGATCAATAGAGCCTCTTTCTGAGCTTTGAGGTCCATTTTGAAAACAATGCTACAGAGACTTCATGAAACAACCATATTCATGTACTGTATGTATACACTTTTTCACACATCTGTTTAGTGCTTACACCTCATGAGTCATACTGTGGGTCAGCTACATTTCCTGCTCAAGGGTACTTCAGCAGGGCAGATGACTGGCTTTTGAAATATTGACACTGAAAATTGAAAAACTGACACTCTTGAAATAGAGTGTCAGTTTATATCAATAAAACTGCGGACTAAACCGTGGATAAAATACTACTTGGAGTATCTTGCTATAAAGTATATTTTTACAGTAAGGACACATTTCCAAACCAACATTGTGGTGACTACAAATTATGCAACTCCAACGTGTTCAATATTAATTAAATAAATAAGACAAAATGAAACAAAAAATAATATGAATGAAAACAATAAATGTGAAGTAGAAACTGCAGAAAAAGAAATTACCAAAACTCAACTCATTATGAAATGTTGTTTCATTATTCATTTTCGTAATAACACTTTCAATTGTACATTTTTATTTCATTATAGATATTCTAAGTGTGTTTTTGTAAATGATGAGCTGAGTTTTAATAATTTCTTAATTTCTTTTCATAAATGTTTGTTTCATTTATATATTTTACAATTCATACGACTATTTAATTTATAATTATTTGTTTATTTATTTAATATTCAGCACGTAGGGACTTCTGTTGACCTTCTCTTGATGGAGACGTTTGCATCAAAATGACTGAAATAGCATGACTTCCAAAACCTAAATCAGCCTAAATTATAGATATCCGTAGTCATTTTGTAGGTTCATTGACGTGTGTTTTTAATTGGAGTGTGCTAACAATGTTTAATTGCCAAGGCCTTTAATAAGTCAAGTGCTTCATGTTTTAATAAGACCTCCTCAAACTAGAAGGCAACACTTATCCAATCAGTGAAGTGTCCAGGGCTTAGCTTCAGACGGCTGTGGAGTGTTAATGCTCAGATATTTACTTAATTTTCAATCTAAGTTCACAGCCATCACATTACGCATTTTTCTTAAAACAAATCATTATGACACATTATTTTTCTGACCATTAGAGCAATGTAATTTAACAAAAAACACAACTTAATGCACCTTTCTGTGTTATTTTAAATATGTTTCTGTTTATTTTATGTATATAATTGTAGTGTGCGTGTCCATATTAGATGCTGGATGCATAGTGGCTGGGGTGTTTGTCCAGCAGGTTGGCTCAGACTGATTTCTTGCATGATATCTTTACAGCTTTTGGTCAGATTGAACACCTCATTTGCTGTGGATATTCATGTTCCCCACAGCATCATTCCTTAATGAATTTGATTTCAGTCAGTTTCCTGACTGTCTGCTTGGCAACAAACGCACTTTATGAAAAGCATCTCCAAAATAAATGGCTTACTTTCCATGAAATTTGTTCCGGATTGTATAGACTCCAGAGGATGATTGGTAAGAAGAAATATAAAAATCTTACTGGCAGATTCACACTTCCCCCGAGGAGATGCCTCCTTTAGCTTCTAGTCCTTTAGGACAAAAATATTTTTTTTGCCCCACTACTGGTAAGGGTCAAGGAATAATAACATCATCAGGACTTAGTAGTAGTTCTAAAAATCAACAGTTTACTTTCCTTTTCTACTTCTCAGTGCACTACCAGAAGATTGTCCATCGGGACATCAAGCCTTCTAACTTGTTACTGGGGGATGATGGCCGTGTGAAGATAGCAGACTTTGGGGTCAGCAACCAGTTTGAGGGCAACGATGCTTTGCTGTCCAGCACTGCTGGCACTCCTGCATTTATGGCACCAGAGACCCTTTCAGACACCCGAAAGAGTTTCAGTGGAAAAGTGAGTAAGCTCTTGATTCATACATAAATGTGAAGTGCTTTATCTGTGCCAATCTGGGATTCAGTGAGTGTGCCTGAGTATGAACTGTACTGTGGTTACAGCAGCTGCCGGCTTAAGCCTTAACCTCATGATTTAAAAATGAGAACCATTAAACCAAGATGAGTTTTTAGACCTTTGGCGGCCTGCTAATCCAAGGAGCGAATTGTCATTTTCAGTCTTTTCCCCTGTGTGTTTTCTGGTTTTAATAACTAGGAAGCCAGCATTACAGCTGAGAGCAGCACCATTACCAGAGTCAAGATGTGGAATAAGGCTATCGGTTTAAAAAACAAACAACTTACATTGATGCTTTTACAGTCAACCAGTGATCAGTCATGTTTGTCAGGGATAACCCACCACTCCTCCATAATGATTCACTTGATTACCACCTCCCTTTACAAAAAAATTCACAGTATTGGCAAACCAATCAATCACACATTAAAAATTTAATTACTAGTGGAGGACATGATTGAGGTAATTCCTCCATATTTCTTGCAGAATGAAACATCTGTTGAGGCTTGCGAATCAACTCCACCAGCTGATTTACGAACATCACCATTACCAATGGCAAGGAAGGACCTTGCGTGCTCATGAAAGAGTGGCCAGAATAGAATATTTGATTGCAGACAGAAAGGATGTAAGAGGCATTCAAGTGCCTCAACCTGCTTTTTCCTCAAGCTTTCAAGAAATATATTCAGTCAAACTGGTCCCTTTTTCTTTGATTAGTCATGCATTCTTCCTGATTTCGATTTGTTCCAGCCATGTTCCAGACAGCTTTGTGTCCATTATGCACCAACATTTTTGATTTTGGTGTAAGTCAGCAGTGAGATATTTAATATCTGACACTCATATGTCACTTAAACCCCCTCAGCAAATCTGTAGCAGTGAAATAGATTACGCAGGTTCGGAGGACAAGTTTTATCATTTCATATCTATCAAGGAAATGTGGGAATAGTTTTGCTAGAAATTGATTTCCAGGAGATCGTGTTCGTTTGTGCAAGTAGGTGTGGATCGCTGCAGTGTCTTTCTAGATGCATGTTTTTCAGTCTGTTTGCCATTATGTCGCATTTAATATCGCTACTGGCACTTTCTTACAGGCGCTGGACGTGTGGGCCATGGGAGTTACTCTCTACTGTTTCGTCTTTGGGAAGGCAAGTCTGCACATTTTCTGTCTCTCAGTCACTTATCAACATCTGGTCCACAAAGGCAGCAGTAGAGGCTGGGATAAGTGTTAATTTCACACACTCTTATTCTAGTTAACAGCACCCACCGGTATTTTAGTAGGAACACTATCCATCACCCATTTTTTTTGTTTGATACAGCAGCCGTCTAGTGCCATCATTTATTTTAATGAGTACTAGAAGCTGTTTTCCTGTTGTTAGTTGTCTTTAGGGATACAGATTTTCTCTGACGCGGTAGTAATTCAGTGCGTCTTCCTTGTGTTTTTCACTGTCTTTCCTCTGCTCTACCTGCAGTGCCCGTTTATTGATGAGTACATATTGGCTTTGCACAATAAGATAAGGACTAAGCCTGTGGATTTCCCAGAAATGTAAGTCCATCTCCTGCATCCTTCCCTCTCCTTCACTTTATTAAAAGAGACAGCCACCTCCAGTCTCCAGCTGCAGTCATTGTCTTCACCGTTTGCTATCTTCTCATCTGCATCATAGGCACAAAACCTTTCTCTTCTTTTTTTTCTTTTTTTCTTTTTTTTTTTTTTTCCAAGTTACAAATTGCACGTACAAAAATATAAATAGCTTGTTCACAGCAGCCAGTGCACAGCAAATGTCACCTGTATGTGATCAAAACAAGCATTGAAAAAGCAAACGGGGGCATCAGTGGCCTGGACACATACAAGCCCCTGTGCTTCCCGTATCTCCCTTTTGGCTCAAAGGTTAACAAAAAATATGGTCTCCTTGGCTGAATAACACTAAATGCCAGAGAACAAGAGAAAGGGAGCCAGGAAGAGGCTGGCCGTGGTGATAGACTGAGGGAACACACTGATGAAGTATAAACACAGCACATGTGGAGGGGCGATTAGTGGCAGTTGGGATTATGTGTCAGGACAGGGTGTTATGTTGTTAATGATAACCCTCTTCCCCCAGTGGGCTCAAGAGACTGTGCGGAAAGCTTGTTCATTAAACATCACCCTCCTCCCGGCCAGAATATCACATCACCTAATGGAATCATCTCCACACAGTACCGATCAATGACAGTTAGTGGTGCCTTGTTGTCTGCACCGATGGCCGTTATACTGTAGGTGTATTTAATGTTGCCACTGTCATTATGATCAGTCGCTGAGCTCATGTAAATTTATTTTACTGAGATACTAATGACTTGTACTCCTTTCCATGTGTCAGTGAAATTCAACATTGAAATTCATAAACATGGCGAAACTCAATTATTGTTGCTGTCACAGTTTAAAATATTTTAGAGCACCGACTTCACATGCAATAGCTAAGCAGGACAAAATGTCCTAAAAATCAGTGGTTCCCAAACTTTTTTGTCAGACGTACCCTCACAGCCTTGTCAGATGAACTCAAGAACCCCCTCACTGACTTTACCATTTCCCGATAGCCATTGTCGTTAACTATTTTATCCACTCATTTGAGCTGTTTTAACCATTTATCCATTACTTTTAGCTAAGTATTTTAGCTTGTTTGCTGACTAGTTTTCACGCGCTGTCAACACATTATATTAAGATGTTACAGCTGAAGTTTTTTTTAATTCAAACTGTGATTTCTGTTATATTCAGATAAGTTTAGCTACTCCACAACCTTCCCACGTACCCCTAAGCAACTGCAGAAGTACCACCTTAGGGGACTAGCAGCCCTTGTTGCTATAAATTTAACCACCTGCTAAAGCAGTTAAGATCAGTGGAACCTACCTCAAGGGTTATACAACATAAATCTGAGGGGTCATGAGATAATTAAAGGGATAAGAAAGAAGAATAAATCTTTTTAAAGCGCGTGAATTAATCCAAAATTGTAACCTTAACCCTTAAGGTAGGGGATGTCACTGCACATGTGTGGCGTAGCGTGTGTAACCTCCCACCCCCCCCAACCCCGAAACACACACAGATTCGACTATAGGCAATCCCTGACAATTCAGATTCAACTATGAAAATCCTTAGTGGGGGTAACTAATCTTTGCCTTTTTCTTGGTGAAATACTGCGCAGCTTTACCTCATATGGCTTCTAAAAATGACTGATATCTGTGTATTTTCTTTGGTTTTGAATTCTTCACAGCATGTGATTAGTGGTTGCAAGTAGACACAGCTTCTTTTTAAGTGGTCCCAAGATTGGGAAACACTGTTTTTAATTACCTCTGGGCCTTACTTTGAAATGAAACATTTTCCCAAACCATTATGTTGTGTTTCCTGCAGACCAAAGATCAGTGAAGAGCTGCAGGCTCTGATCTTGCGGATGCTGGACAAGAACCCAGACACCAGGATCACCATCCCTGAGATCAAGGTAACATAGAGAACAAAGCAAGCCATGGTAGAATGAGACCATGTGGTTAGTCACTTATGGTTTCAGGAGGATCATAACAAGGATATCATAGTTCATTGTTAGACACAACCCGACTGTGCTTTTCTCTCCTGTGATTGGCTCAGAAGACACTGACCTCACTGCGGTACATACAGTAGGGCTCATTAGGCATGTTTTGTTGCTTCAGGACATGATGAAACCTGTTTGTCCCTGCTTCATTTGGTTGCACGGCCTTCAGATTCACCTCACTCAATTATTGGAATGACGCTTTTAAAAACAAATACCATGGACATTTTCAAAGACATATGCAAGTGCGTCTTCCACAAGCAACAATAATTGCGTGTGTTTTTATGCCTATTTGAAATTACGCTAAGGCATTATCTTTTAAGATGAATATAAAGTGGCTCTAAGCTGTTGCACTCCCTCTTAAAGTTATTTATTCTGTCTGCTAGACTGCATTGTTTATACCCCCACTGTACCGGTGCCTTCTTTTTTTTTAATAACCTCTTACCTTTGTATGTTATTTTATTGTCTGTTCCTTAACATTTAATGTTTTTGTCTGTCTAAACTTGTATCCAGGCCATCCTTTTAAATAAGTGTCCTGCTGTTTAAATAAAGGTTTAATGAAAAATTAAAAAATAGAAAGCTGTACTAGAGGGCAGGGAGGTTCAGGACCAGCCATGGACAGATGACATTCCCCACTCCCCACCATGTTTCCATGACACAATCTAATCATGTGTCAGTGAGTCATTTTCTCACCAAAGACTCTGTTTGTGTTTATAGGAGACAATTAGGCTGCCAGGCATCGTGCATATCCTTGTGCTGAAACACACACACACGCTCACATCTCTTACTTGATAAGAGTTGCAAAATACAGCTTAGTAAAAGCCTTTAAAGTCTATCAAGATAACAAAATTCACTGAGGAGTTGTAATGTAATATTTTAATCAAATGCAATTACATTGTAGTTTAATTTAAAGAAAAGGCTGATTTTAGCTCTTTTGCTACACTGTTTGTTTAGTTGCATTATTACTGTCCAAAGTTTAAAGCCTGTTGTATTCTTTTCCAAAAAAAACCAGCATGCAAATTTCGTAGTGATCTATTAAGTCTGGGTGACATGTTTCTTATATATGATACACTGTAGTTGTATTGTACAGTATTTACTCATGTTTGAGTAATGTTTGCTGAAAATTACAGTGCCAAACTGTTATTATTTTTTTTTTAATTAAAATGTATATTTTCCAGCTACCTCACCTGGTAAAGCATGCTTACCGAGGCTAAGTCCTTACTGCAGGGCCCAGGTTCCATTTCATCCTGCAGCCCTTTACTACATGTCATCCCCTCTCTCTCTCTCCCACATTTCCTGTCTCTCTCTTTAGCCGTTATATCAAATAAAGGCAAAAATCCCCCCCAAAAATCATCTTTAAAATAAAGATTATACTTGTGATCTTTTTAAAGATCTACATGTTCAGTAGGAATAAATGGGCTGGAGCTGAAATTCACAGACAATGAATGTCAGTATTGAGAGTCTTTGTGAGATGTGTTGATTTAAAAAATATATATATATAATTTTGTCATTGTGAGCAGCAATGAAGTATGCTTTTAGTAACTTTAACTCTTTGCAGTTTGTTTTTTGTAGCATAACAATAGTAATCAAAACAGATGGCTGCCTGGCTGGTGCTCAGTGCTCATGTATACATCCACACAGTATGCCTTACTTTAGAAAATTCTCAGTAATAATGTAAAACATGCATGCTGTGCCTTACAAGGGCTAAATCATGAATAAAAACTGCAGTCACCCTGTGGAATATTTTAAACATGAAGCCACTTGAGAGCCAGACTTCCTATAAAGAAGTACAGCTGCAAACTATTGTACTTTACCTGTGGAGTGTGGATAATAGAAACAGTTTATTATAGGCTGGTCATGATGGTCGTGAACACTGTCATGTCATATCTGTTTTTGTGTGTGTCTGTCTTTAGATGGACCAGTGGGTGACCCAGGGAGGCACTGACCCCTTGCCTCTAGAGGAGGAGCACTGCTCTGTGGTGGAGGTGACAGAGGAGGACATCCAGAATTCAGTCAAGTTTGTTCCCAGCCTCTCTGCAGTGGTAAGAAACCCTGAGTGTCCTCCATTCACCAAGCACTTTTATGTCAAATTGATACATTTACACTCATCATTTCCAGGAGCGGTAAAGCCCCAGGAGTAGCTGCTCCTTAACAACCGCAGTCCTCTGTTAACCACAGCAATGCGGAGTGATTTTAGATTTCAGAAGGCAGCCTTGTTCACCTACATAGACGACAAGGTTGCCTCTTAACATTGTTCAACTCTAAAATGCCCCAGTTTCTTGTACTTTAAAAAGAATTTCTTGTGGTTTACCACCATTTCAACCCATTTTTATAGAACGATAAGGTTAAATCTCTGCTTTAGTTGCAGGTGTTCTTCACATAACCCATAACACACCACTGCAAAGGAAAACCATTCCTAATTGGGGTAAATTGACATTCTACACCAACTGTTTTAATGTTGCCTTCATTTGGAAACAAGCACACATACAGGCTGTTTACAGCTTGCATAAACATGCGTCTTGGCTGATCTGATCACAAGTGGACAGCTCAAAAATGTCATCTTACAGGTGAATTTTGTTTGTGGAACTTGTGATCAGTTTGCAAAACACATGCTAGCCAACATGACACATGGAATTCCAGTAATAAACAGCAGCAGTGATAATGCTCCACTAGAATAGCCAGTTAGCAAGTTAGCTCTTGCAGGTAGTAAGAAAAGAACAAACTTGACGGGAAAATGTGGGTCCCGTAAGTAAACTCTGAACCATGCGTACACACATAAAGAGGAGAAATGAGAAACGGCGACTCACATGGCAGAAGGATGAAACTATTTGAAATGAATAGGCCTACTACTGTTTAAAATAAATCAAGCTTCTCTGTCAGAATTTGCCTCCTTTTCTTCCAGCAGTCAGGACGTATTAATGTTAATGAGGGGCGTTTCACTGACCATTTATAGGCAACTATGGGCGTTTGAAGGGTTGGACATGGAGCTCCCTCACATGCGCCACATTTCAAGTTGATTGTGATTTATAAAGGGAGACTATTTATTATTATTATTACTATTTTTGGCTTTTGGGTGCCCGTACACTTTTAGTGAGGATTCTATGCACAGTTTTATAAATGAGACCCCAAGTCCTAAACCATCAATGTTTCAAGAGCCATATATGGGTTTTTGTGTTGGGTACAGAACACTTGTGGATCCAGTAGGTGTCACCTTTCAGCTTTGCGTCAAACGCTTTTTAGGTATAACCTTTACTCAGGTGACAGGTGTTCCTGGACGGAGGGGAAGCACCCAACACAAAAACCCATATGTTGCTCTTACAAATATATTGCACAGGTTATAAGCACAGAAGCCTGTTAGCATTAAACACGTTTAGCATTCAAATAACGTTAGCATATATAGAATTCCTGTTTAGAGCAGAGAAGTCGTGACCTTTTGCTGGAAGTGTCCCATAAAATATGGCAGTGTCCTGTAATTGGAAACTAAAAGATGTGTTCTGTGCAGTCTATGAGAGAGAAATATTGCAGGCGCTGCAAGTTTCACAATGATGTCACTCACATCTTGGTAACCAGCTTGTGTTTGTGAATGTTCCAGATCTTGGTAAGAGCCATGCTGAGGAAGCGCTCCTTCAGTAACCCCTTTGAGTGTCCAAGCAGGAGAGAGGAGAGGTCCATGTCTGCACCTGGCAGCCTGCTCATGTAAGCACACATTCCAGCTGGCTGACAGTCATCTATGCCCAGATCTCCCATGTACACTTAATACTTGCTCATCCCATCCATGAAGATAAAAACCACACAGACCCATTCTTATTGCAGATATTGCTTGAGATTCTGACATAGATCGGTACTTCACACCTGTGTCCTCTTTCTGCTGTATTAGTTTAACTAGCATTCATTCCTGCAGCAGCAGCTGCTGTTGCTTTGGGTTGCCATAGCACCATAATTCATTCTTTCATTGTATGCTGTGGAGCTTACAGCTTTTATAAGTGTTTCTTTGTGTGTTGTTTTCAGCTTTCAAGGGTAGAAGGATTCAGAGTGACAGAGAATGACACAGATCCACCAGTGCCTCAGGCTGGCCTTGGCTTTTCAGTTACATGGATTGAAAGCATCACAGAGGAAATGGCCAATCGTCTTATCCCATCGTGCAATTTCAGCATATACAGCCAAGGGCAAATTGGAGCATCTATAGCTGTTCCCTGCTGTACTGCAGGGCACCCTTAAGACAGTAAACTGTGTTCTGTGTCCAGCAGACTTTGTCTTGAAGATGGACCACTGTAGTGCGTACTGTGGAGAAGACTAATCTCCTATTGTTGAGGTTTTATTAGATGGCTTCTCTTCTATCTGGGCTGAGGTTTCCCCCGTTACACTCCAGGTAGTCACAGAGCTTGTGGGGAGTTTAAAACAACACTGCCCCCTACTGGATAATGAAACAACAAGGCTTTATACAACTGCTGTGCACTCACAGTAGCACGAAGCCCGGAACAGGAATGTTCAGTCTACAGATTCACTTCATTGCACTTCATGTCATCATGTATAATAAACCTTGTTGATTAATGGGAGGACTATAAAAATAGCCCCTAAACAAGACCCTTATGGCTTACATATAGAATTGTACCATCAGTTTCAGCCACTTTTATTTTGTAACGTTGTCAATGTATACATATGGTCCCATCAACAACATGAGCCTCAAGAGATGCTCTATTTCAAAACCGAACTGCTGCTAAAGCTTTCAAAATAAATTCTGAATGGCAGGTGGAAGAAGTGAATGACTAATAGTGAAAGATAATTAGCAAAGTACTATAATTTCCTTCAAAGTAAAGTCTTAAGAAAACAACTATGGTCAGAGTAATTTGTAGTTTTGTAAAAGGCTCGAGAAGTACTGCTCACGATAATTAAACTGAATTAGAATGCGAAATTGGTGCAGTGTGCCTTTTTAAAATTTTTTCCAAAAATGATGATATCATTTTAATGTTTATTTTGTGTTGGAAGCATAGACTGTATAAAATAAGTGGACATTTGTGATGTCACCCATTGGTCTGGACTATCATTATGAAGCCTCGAGTTAAGGGCATTTTGGTCGTCACCATTTTGTTTGTTTTTTAACTAGACATGACCGGACAAGACCATATTTGAACGAGAGGGTGGAACTAGCTAGCTTGGTTAGCAGAATGCATCCATAATTCACATTAACTGTAATTTTAGTGTGATGCTATTTTGTCTAGCATAAAACAGACAACAAAATCTATCTCCCGGAAAAAATCAACAGCCGAATCCTTCGTGTCTTTTAGTACAACAGACATTTTTAAGCCACCAGAATGTTACAATTAACTTTCATGAACTGAAAACACAGTGTGAAAGTGCAGTGGATGCAAGTCGTCTCCATTCTGATTGACAGGTCACCATGGTAGTGACCTGTCAATCACAAGGTAGCTACTCTCTAAAACATACCCTTCTTTATTGTCTATTTTCCTCTAAATGGGACCATAATTTACTGAATAAACATCATCCTGTACAGAAGAAGACATGAAACTAGTGACTGAAACCATGAACTCATCAGGAAAGTGTTTACTGAGGTAATAAGTCAAGTATGTAGTAGGGCAATGTTGTCATAGACTCCAATGCAAACGGACTTCTTTTTGCCCCCTGCTGGCCATTAGAAAGAAGGCACTTACGCATTGGGTTCAATTTTCAGACCCGGAGGTTGCAGCTTGGTTCGCAGTAAAAAGCCCCAAAATATTTTCTTTATACTGGAATATAAAGAAAACCTGGCAAATCCTGAGGTCTTAATAAAAATAAAAATAAATCAATTATCAAAATTGTCATTGATTATTATGCTGCGCTTGAAGCAACACATAGCACCTTCATGTTGAGATGGTGAAGTGTGTACGGGGGAGGTCATCTCCTTCTGCGACCATGTCTTTGACCCCACTGAGGTGACCTTTGCCCTCTCACCTGTGACTTTTCCATCTTTTCTCCCACTTTGCTGCAGGGACTCGTGGCCCTTCCGGCCCTCTTTAAAACTTCACCCCTCACTCAGGTAACACTTGCAATACAGTCTGGCACACTGTCTGTCCAACATCTACCAGCCGCTGCGCTCATCATCATCTTAGACTCCAGAGCTCTCACTTATCCCCATCATGAGAAGTGACGGAGCAGCCCTTCCCCAGCTGTCATCTCAGAGAGTGTTGTCATCTCCCTGCCGCTGTCATTTAATGCTGTGTTGCATTGATAATGCATTTTTTTGTGTTTTTAACATTCATCATGTAACAGAAATGGGCAACCAGCTTCTACCCTGCTGCGTCTGGAGAGATGAAGCACAAGCTTAATAGTATAAGCATGTAGATCTCCCTCCTTACTGCGGTTGTCCAGCTTGAAATCATAGAGAGAATTGCTGTTAATATTGACTGCTTTCTCTCTTTTATTTCTTCTTTCAGAAAGAGCAGCACAGGAGATGGACCCAGAGAAGGAGAGCTGGAGGACCTGCACGAAGACGAAGCCTCTTCTTGAGTGTTAATAACACTCTCGTCAATAGAACTTTGTCTTCAACTCGCCCCTTCATCCTCACATCTTCCTTAAATCAGTGACACACTACAAATGTATCATCAGAACACTGGAGAGACTCGAGCTTTTAAATCTACTATATTGATAATATTCAGACATGTATGCTCAGGCTTGCTTTCGTTTTAGCTTTCCCCCATTTTCCTTCTCCAGTGTGAGACTAAGTTTTATCCACAATGTCGCTTGTCTTAACTGCTCAAACACTTACTGTTGTGACTGGCATCAGTGAACCAGTGAGAGGAACTCTTCTAAATTTCTGGATCATTAACAGTTTAAATTATTGTTGCAGGACAAGGACAAGAACATGTTTGTCATCTGGCATTACACTATAATGTGAGGATATTTTTATCATTTACACATTTGCATGAATTCATAGGCCTCGTCACAGTCATTGGTATAGCCAGCCTGACATAGAGGAAAACAAACCCTCTTCAATGATAATCACAGCATGTAAATTATACTATATTGTTGCTTCATTGAACCATAGGGCTTTTTATTTATAATCAATGGCCAGTCATTTTGATACTGTACAGATGTCTTGAGGTATCATATGTGTCATCATACGTGTTAGTGTCGCACAACACTACTTTTTGTATTTGTGCCATCAGTAGCTTTTACTTTGGAGCTGTGTGAGAAAGTTCTCTAACAGGAAGGAACAGAAGTCAGCTGTATACGGGTGATTACACAGAAAGGACAGAGGCTTTGATATGCTTGTTGAAATGCTCAAAGTGACTTTTTCTGCTGTGTGATGTGTAATTATTTTTGTGGTATAAGTCATTTCACGCTTCTCATACTCTGTTATATGTTGCTTGTCTAATGATTTCTGTTCTGTTTGATTTCATGTCAAGTAACTGTGACAGGAATTAGAGCATTTCTAATTGTATGTTCTTTGATGGTGAGTGTGAACAGACTGAAATACTTTACATATTTTCCTTTCCAAATTAGAATGTAATTTTATGCAATATTCTTGGATGCGGAGCTGATTTAAAGGTATGAATAATCTCATCCAAGTTAAACATCACTGAGTGCTCTTACGTGAGAAATTGAATCTGATCCAGGCTAAGGGACAGTACACTGACACTTATCAGTGACAAAGTTTTTCTCTTTCACTTTCTAATGCATGATAAGAAAAAGTAAAACAGTATGCACATTGGTGGCTATTGTGAAAGTTATTATTCCATAAATATGCTATACTATATATATATATATATATATATATATATATATATAATGTATAGTGGTATATTAGAAAATATTAATTAGATTAAAGTTAAGGTTAAATTGGATTATGCCACCAAAAAATTATTTTTGTTTTGCCTTTAATGAGTTGTAATAAGCCAATACTATATTTTGAGATTTTAGGGGCACAGTGTTGCTTTATCTGTATTCTAGTTGTCTGAAGAAAAAAAAAACATTTTAATGCTGGGTTGGGTCAAGTGTCAAAACTGAAATTGAATATTCAACTCCCCTCCTCACCGCAGTAATTTATGTACAGTCCTTAACTAGGCGATGTACCAACTAGCTATGCAAGTTTGTAGAGCTGGGCAAGCTAGTTAGTTAGCATGCTAACTCTGTGAGATCACAAATGTTTGGATTGTAAATTAATGAAAAATGTTTTTTTTTTGTGTGATTTTAATCTTTCTTTGCCATGTATTTGTTGGTTATGTAAAAAACAAAAACTAGTCTGTGGGTTGTTTTGTCTCTGCTGACTCAGATCAACAAGAACATTTCTGCCTCCACAGAAGCTCTGCTTCAGATAAATGTTTATATAACTCCATTTTGATTCTATCTCCCTCTTCTGCTGGCCTGGTGCGTCACCCTGTGAAAGAAAGTATGTTTGGCTGAGTGCACTGATCACTTGAACCATGGTGAAAAGGAGCATTTCACTGTCATGATTAGACCCTGGCTGACAACAACAACACTTCCCCAGCATGGCTGCTTAGAAACAGGGAGTGTGGCGCTTCGCATTTCCTCTATTAATATTGCCCCCAGTCCTCCAGGGCAGGATGCTAACTGAAGCAAAGAGAATGGAGATGGACTGGTTGAATCTGAATGGGAAAGCATTACGCATACGGTTACTGAGCCTCTGTGTGTAGGGATTTATGTTCATAGAGGCTGGGTCTGTATGCATACAAGTCATGAATGCTATTTAGACATTCAGTTGTCAACTTTATTTTCATGTGGGTGCAGGAGAATGTAAAGCTTTACATAGTTTTAGTTTATTGTTGTCAGTTGTCTTGTAAAAGGGTGGTACGATACATGTTAAATTAGGACAAATAAAAACCTTTATGTGTCTGAAATGTTGTATATGCAGTTTAATATGAAATTAAGGTTTGTGGTCATTTGTTTAATATGTTTCTTTTGTTTCTGTCACTCTACTGAGGATGATTGGAGTGAAAGTACTGAGGTCTGTTTGCAGGGTAACCTTCAATGAAGGACTGTTTGAACCAAAAGTCTGAAATTGTGTGTTTGTATTTTATTTGCTTAAAAACATGACATTCTTATGTACTTAGTATGTTCTATTTTATCTACATGTTTCCAGCTTTACAATTGAGTGTTTGTACAGACATTTGTCAGTGTCAGTGGTGCAATATTGTTGTCTTCTATCTTTGGTGCATTATTGGCTCATTCCCCTGCTGCCATGGCAGGCCACTCCTTTCATCTGTATTCTAGTTGTCTTTGTTGAAAAAAACTAAAATAATGCTTGAATATTTGCACTATTCCACTTACAGTTTCATAATAAAGTAATTGTGACTACATATAACACTACTGGTACCTGCCAGCCATTTAACATTGTACAGTTTATGATCAAGGAAACAACTGTGTGGTTCACCTGTGAAAGACCATATTTACTGTGTATCGTATTTTCTCAGTCTCCTGTGCTTTTTGAAGCATTACTCTTTGTCGATCTGCATGTCACAACATTGCTACTTGGGTTTTGAGAAGTTTTACAAATGAAACTCAAACATGTTTCCATTTTGCAGTCCTGTCTGTATCAAAATGCTGTTAACAGCTACAGTAACAAGATTGGTTTGAATAGTTGCTTTTATTGTGCACATCAATGTGATAACAGAATTGTGAATATTGTATTACTGGGCCTAGGGACTTCTGGATTTTACTGCTGAAATGATGCATAATGCTAAAACACTGCAAGCCCACTATGTGAGCTCCGAGTACAGGAGTAGTCTGCAATAGCTTTGTGTTCAAGATGTTCTGTAGAGAGACGGTGATCGTTGATCACAGGCCTCCGACTATAGGAAAGTCTCTTCATGCGACCCAGCCACCAATTAGTCAACAGTTAATAGTTTTTTTTATAGTAATAATTCACTCTGAAAATGTTGTCACATTTTTCTGTTGCTCTGTTAGTTTTAACCGCACATTCTTCTAAACTTCTAAACCGATTTCAATTACATTTGGTAGAAAATTAGACAAACTGTTTCAGGTGCAGATTATATTGCTTGAGAACGTTTTCATGTTATAATTCCTGAATGTATTCTTTTATCCTGATTGAAGACGTGTCAATCAGTCCATATATGCCACACCCATTTCCACCTACAGGGATTCCTGCCATATTTAGTTTTTTTGGCAAAAACACTCATACTACAGTTTTTTTTGCCAGTCTTTGCCAATTTGTTACATTTACAAAATGTACTTTTGGTAGTTTTTTGTAATTATACCACTCACAACACAGTGCAGTTTCAACTACATATAAATGCCATGTGCGCATATTGATGAACTCTGGTCGAGCCTTCTAAATTTAACTGAATTTTTCTAGAGGTTTTACTGCAACACGATACATTTAAATGGCCATAACTTAGTGCTCACCTGTATGACTCTGTTGCAATTCTTCACAATTCATCCTTGTAGAAAGCCCTAATACTTACAGACTTTATGTAGTCTCCAAAAAACAGCCCAAATGTCTATCACTATTTTGATACAGCTCTGGATCCAGGTACATATTAAATGCCACTATTTTGAAAATATAAAATATACTGGATTGTGCGGCCTTGGCAGAGATCACTCTAAATGCCTTCTAGCTCAGTGTTGTTACTGTAGTGAAACACAGAAGAAAAATCAATGGGTGCAGTTGCTACAGTCGCAGCACAGGAAGTGAGTGACAGGACTAATTTCTCATAATTTCAGGTCATCATTATATCCAGGAGGAGGGTTGTGGGAGAGTGACGTTGTACATACTATTATTATATAGCTGCTGTGTATCTTATGTGACTGTCCTGATGTGTTGAAGGTGCCTGCTCTCTCTGTGTTTCTGGATGTCTGTCTCGTGTCTTGTGCATTTCTTTGAATGTACTCACTCGCCTGTGTCAAGCTGCTCACACAAAAACAGAAGCATGGCACATCCCTGTGGAATGCAGTTGTCTCAATGTAAATATGTACCAATATATATATATATATATATAAAGAAAGCTATTTTTTGCATGCTTTTTGTACACTTAGACATAATCAAAGACAATAAAAAAGGAAATCTGAATTATTTTGATATTTTGCCTGTATTCCTATCTGACTACTTGCACTGTGACAAGAGAAAACTGTATTAATATTACTGTACATATTTTATCGAATTATTGATATATTGAAAAAAAAGGTGCACAGTGCACACAGGATGAATCACTGACAGTGGCACAGCCACACGTTACGTTTTGACAAACACTGTGACAGAGGTAATGAATGACTTACTGGTGGTTTGTGTACACACAGTACCAGAAATAATAGTTTCAACTGTATGGATACAGAGACAGTTAGGACATGGAGGTTACACCCCAACAAAAGCAAACTAAGCTACACCCAAACAAAACAGCTGAGCCACGCTAGGACTGCATACAATAGGCAGGAGGAGTCACAGTCTCTCATGGTGGCTGTAAGAGAGGGAAGATGCTGGTAGAAGATGTTGCTGAAGATTGAAGAGAGAAGACACGTGGAGAAGTCCTTTGACTCCAGGCAATTTAGAGTACTTGTGTTGTTGTGCAGGTTGTTTTGCAGGGTTTCAGTGCAGCACACCTTCAAATTAGAAGCTTCAAAGTTTGCTCCCAGGTCACTTCCACACAGAAATAGCAGATAAAGACGACATTAGACACCACAAAATGCAAAGCAAACAGGCTTTATTGTTCTAGGAATTATATATGAATCCCTTACTTTTGTCATTGCAGTATCTGTGCTAACTGCCTCTGAATCAGGGTCCTGTTGGATGAAAGTCAGATCCATAGGAGCCATTTAGACCTCTCAGGTAATGACAAATAGGATTCTCCTCAATTTCACATGACAGAATACATAAAGTAAATATATTATCTACTGTGTCTAGACTTCACACACACTCACTTTGGACTGGTTTGTGCCTTGGACTTGTCTTGCATTTGCTTTGAGGGTGTAATAGACGCTTGTGTCTAAACCAAGCAACTTGCTGTCATGCTGTAAATACAAAATGTTCTGTCTGCTTCAGGTAAAGACGGAAATTGTCTGGGTGGAGAGTGGGGGTCCGTTTTCTATCAGATAAAAGGCTGTACTGTACCAGATGTTCTGCACTGCCAATGGATATTATGGGAATAAACAGAGCATTAATCTGAAGGTCACTGCTCCTGTGTGCTAGTGGGGCTTCTAGTTTTGATGAATGAGGCATTCAATCACAAGAACTGAAATACATCCAAAAGATGTTCAGATACAGAATTACACACTAAATACCGTTGATGTCCGTCCTGTGTCTGCGTGGACCGTAATTGTTAAATGTCTCTCTGCTACCATCTTGTGTTGAACCATTACAACAGAATTTACAGTATAACATCACTGTATGTGCACCATAGAGCTTACCGGTGTTTGTGTGATTGTGTGTTTGAATTTCATGTTCTTGTAAAATTCTTTTTTCGGTAGCAAATAGAGCAACACCAAGTCACATACTACAGTTGCCTGAAAAAGAATCATAAATATATTAGTTTGTATACAAAGTATTCCACAGACAATAAACAATTATTGCATGTTTAAGTCAGGCTATAACATACCACTCCAAAAATGCCCACCCCAGAGCCTATAGCTGTCAGGGTTGGGATGATATCAAATTTTCCTGCCTGTAAGGGACAGCATGCCGATGATTGAAAATTCCCTTTGACTATTTCTCAAGTAAGAAATGGTCATAAATAAAAATGTTCATATATTTTCTCACCTGTGACTGCACAATGATATCTATCCTGATCCCAAATACTTTGAGAAGGGTTCTCTTCTGAACTTTGTCCTCCAAATAATACTTTGCATACCTACAAACAGCCATGGGAATCATTACAACATGTTATGTAGAATGTATTTACCAAAGTGTTATATGAATGTCTTTGCAATAGACAGTACACTTCTCCCATGAAATAAACTCTTGTAAAACACAGAGGGCTTTTAAATCTTCAGCTTTAACCAGTAAAAATGAAATTTAAAGTCACATCACCTGGTAGAATAAATTGTTCTACTTCACACAATAATGTCATGACATGGAAGACTTCCCATGCAATTATTGTCAATACCCTTAAAGCTAATTAGCCGAGTATTCTCAGAATACATTAAGCAATAGCAAGTGGCATTTTGAAAGCCATGTTGAGTTGTTTTACTGAAGGTAAACATCACAAACTCCTGGCACACCTGAAGAAGAGCAATATCAGGAGCAAACAGTGAGTTCAGTCTAGTCCATGGAAAATGATGTGAACAATAATAGTAATAGCTACTATTGTGACAGTAAATCATCAGTAAAATAAGTAATTCCATCAGCAGTATTTTGTTGATATTTTCAGGCAGTTAATGCAAATTGAACACTGAAAATGAATACTGAGTCACACCAGAGCAGGAAAAAAGGAAACTTCTGAACACAATGACCTGAAATATCAAACCTCTTAATTTTGAATTTAATTTAAAGTGAAGCTGCAGAAGGAAGGATTCAGGGTGACGGCAGGAAGCTGGGAATACATCTAACCTAGCTCTGTCCTAAGGTAATTAAGTCTGCCTCATCGGCACCTCTAATGCTCATTAAATAAACACATTATAGATAGTTTGTTAAAATCGTAGTGTAACAACAACAGTTTGTGGTTTTACGGGGCATTATAAAACAGAACCAGACTAGCTGTTCCCCACTTGTTTCCAGTCTTTATGCTAAGCTAAGACACAAGCATGAGTGGTATCAATCTTTAGTTTTCCCAAAATTTCAAACTAGTGCTTTAAAAGCAGCGATAACACCATTAGGTATTTACTGCAGTGTAAAAAAAACTATTTGTGTTCGAGTTTATGGTTATTCAGTGAAGTATATTTACCCACCTGAAATTGTAGCCCATTGAAGCTCTGGCTTTGTCTGTCTCATTTGGGTTTCCATACAGACCGTGGAATTGATACTTTGGTTTACAGTGTTTTACAGCTACATCTAGGTTACATGTCCAGTCGACCACAATACCAATGGCTCCTCCCTGTCACGACACAAGCACATAGTAAACAGTACATGTGCAGCTGTGATTAGATGGAATAGAAATCTGCCTCTCCACCAGAAAAATCCTTCCGGTCTATTAAGTGATCTTACGGAGCTAACTTACCTCTTTGGCTATTGTTTCAAAATTGAAGCCAGCCAGTTTAACTATGTCTCCCAGTTTAAATATGGGGCACAGAGGAGAATCCGTTGGATGATAAAGGCAGGTTTTGATGTACTCTTTATCAATGTTCTCCACCAGGTTACTCCTGAAAACACATTTGGTCATTACAAAACACAGTTATAGACACATTATAGTGTGTTGA